TCACATATATAATCTCTGAGGATTATAAACTCAGGAGGCTAAGGCAGGAGGGTTACTATGAGTTTGAAACCTTTCCTGGCTATAGAGTGAGTTCTAGGTCAGCCTAGACTAGAGTGAATGAGAGTAGTCTGCCTCAACAAAACAACAACAAATTAAAGACAAGAAAGGTACAGTGATGGGAGGCATGAAAAAAGTATATAATGTATGAATGTGTAATAGTGGAGCTCATTCTTCTGTACAGTTAATATACCTTATTAAATAAAATAAGTTAGAAAGACCAGAAAACAGAAAAAAAAAAAAATGTTTCTTTTTGTATAAAAAAAAAAAAAAAAAAAAAAAAAAAAAAAAGAGCAACCCACATTCTTAAGAGACCAAGCAAGTGTGGCTGTATGAAAATTGCCTGCCTTGCCTGCCTACCTCATCTGCTTTCATTCACAGATGGAGCCCCCATTCCTTTGTGAAATATAAATGCCAATATGTGGATACAAGCACAGGCCACATGGATTGTCTTACCTCTGTGTAGATAGACCATCTTCAGTTCAGCTTTGGAGACTGATCCCTGTGGTAAATGGGCTGTGCTGGAGCAGTGCAGTGTCTGCTCTCTTCCTTCTTCACCTACAGAGACATGCATGGCAGTGGGGCCTGTGCTGGAGAAGTAGCTAAGGTGATCCTGCCTCCCTTCTTCCTCTCACCTAATGGTTTACGTCTCCATTTGATCCACTGTGCACTGGTAGTGGCTGCCATCTTTAGGATGACAAATCTTATTAGGTTTTGATTTTGATCTCATGGTTAAAGCCTTCCCACTCACAGATGGGCCTTTTATGGGCATAGATGCTGAGTAGTGGTTCTGATTATGTTGGGTGTCGTAAACCCTTACTTTGCTTTAAGCTTTATCATGATTTGTAGGCATGGCAAATCTGGACTGGCTTGTTGAGCTGTCTTCAGCCCTGGCTGGAGAGGTCATCTTTCTGTACCACTGCTCCCATCTGGTGGCCATTATCTCAAATTGCAGCAGCATGACATGCTTCAAAAAGGAATGGCTTGTCCTTCAGTACCACACATTAAAATGCCTTTAAAATATGCTACATACAAATTGTGGTGATATTTATGATTTATTAAAACCTGCCTGAGGATTCAGAAAGCAAAGTTAGCCACAAGCCATAGAAGCCAGGCAAACACCTTAATCCCAGCAGCCAGAAGCTTGGAGGAGGTGGTGGTACATACCTTTAATCCTAGGACTCAGGATTAAGAGGTGGATGGATCTCTGTGAGTTCAATTCCACACAGATCTACAGAAGACTGAATCAGTCTTAAAGAGAATTATAAAAGTTTTTACCTGTAATCCCAGAACTCATGAGAGGCATGTAAGTCAGCATCAGGAGTCAGTATAAGGCATTCATTCTCCAGCCACACTGAGGAGAGGCAGCAGTTTGAGACTTGTGAAGAGCGTGTGCATGGATCAGCCCTTTCAGCCTGAGAGCTAGTGGCTGGCTGCTTTGCTTCCCTGATCTTCAAGTTGAACCCCAATATCAGTCTTTGGGTCTTTCATTTTTTCATGTTCACAAATTCTCGGTAAGGGAAACATTCATCAACTCTTCAAAAGCCTAAAGCCTTTCTTGGTTTCTTTACTCATGACAGATTTTTCATGCTTCATGTTTTTTTTTTTTTTTTTTTTTTTTTAAAGCAGTCTTTTCTCATTTTGGATACTAATCCCATTTCCCACTCCCTCCCTCTTCTCCCACTCCCCCCACCCCACCTCCCACCCACTTCTCAGAGAGGGTAAGGTTTCCCATGGGAAGTCAACAACGCCTGGCACATCACTTTGAGGCAGGATCAAGGCCCTCCCCACTATATCTAGGCTGAGCAAGTTATCCCTCCATAGAGAATAGGCTCCAAAAAGCCAGTTCAGGCCTTCATGCTTTTATGGTGATTATATGCCCAGGCCATAGATGAATGAAATTATAAAGTATTCAAAATATCTGGCAGAATAAATACCTTCTAGGTCTATATATAAACAGTCATGGATATAAATGGAGTGTTTGAAATTTGTGCAACTACTTTGTCCAATTCTAATAAATTATAAGGTACATCACGGTTTTAATAAATTTCTTTTGGAGGGATGATAAATGGCGCTACATTATGTATATGTACTACTATACAAGATCCGATATATATTTCTTGCATTTGATTTTTGTTTCATCTCAAAAAGTATATATTCTGAAAATGTGCATATTGGAATTTAGGAATTGTAGACTGAGTATGATGGTACACATTTAACAACCCTGGCATTTACCAGGGCAGAGACAGAATCAGTTCAAGCCATCCAAGGTCATATAAGACCCTATCTCAAAAAACAAAAATAATTTAGGAAGAAATGGGGATGGAGAGGAGACAGAAGACTTAAATTTTTGATGCTATGTCTTTCTTTCTTCCTTCGTTCCTTCCTTCCCTCCCTTCCTCCCTCCCTCCTTCCTTCCTTCCTTTCTTCCTTCCTTCCTTTCTTTTGTAAGTACTTAGTTGGGTGTGGTGGCTCATGCCTTTAATCCCAGAACTTGGTAAGCAGAAGCAGGTGGATTTCTGTGAGTTTGAGGCCAGCCTGGTTTACAAATCAAGTTTTAGGACAGCTAGGGCTATACAGAGAAATCATGTCCTGAAAACCAAACAAACAAAAGTAAGTACTTTAAAAAAATCTACATTTAAAATTGATAATGAAACAGTTTAATGTATTGCAAGGAAATAAAAACTTTTTCTGGATAAAAGTAACATAGTGGTTAGTATAATAGATTTCATGGGAAGTTTCACTGGTTTACAATATTGAAGAATGTAGTGATAGTCAATAGAGAGACATGCAGTCTCTGATAAATCATGATCACAATATAGGTGGCTTGGAAACACTTGAGTCCATTAACTTTTTTTTTTTTTTTTACAGAATGATGCATGTGTTTTGTGAAAATAAGGAATAGTACTTTAAGTGTAAGGCTCTAGGGGCTGCAGGGAATAGATTCCTACCCAGGTTAGCCTGAATAGTAACTATAAAGCCAATAAGTGCTGGAAACATCAGCAGACAGGCACCAAAGTGTCACTGAGCCTAGGGCAGTTAAAATGGTACCAGTGATTCCTGCTTCCTGATTCTCAGAGGCCTCAGATCTCTGCATTGGCTGCTTTTTGGTTTCTATCAACTTTGCAAATGGATACTAACTCAGTACTGAATCACAACCTCAACTCAAGTTCTTATACTGATCACTTCCCTCTGTGTCCACTTCTGTCTGATTTGTGCCAACTCTGCATAGAATAGCTTAGTGATGTTTTTGCTACACAGGGTTTATGAACAGGACTTTTGAGCTAAGTGATGAAGCTATTCAAGGCAGGCGGTTGGGCTTTTTGTCCAATAGAACTGCTGCTTCTTCTAAGACTTTGACCTGTGACTGCTTTGCCACTCTCGTCTATCTGACCTCGAAGGCAGACAGTGCTTCTGGAGTTAGGTGGAAGTTCTAAGATTATGTGGAACTCCAAGAATGAATTAATTTAGCACATTTGAGAGTACCAGCGAAAGTTACGTAAATGTCTGTTAATGAATTGTGAGCTGTCTTTGGATAAAGGAAAGTGGGATGTTTGTCAGTGAGTCCCGATGTCCCACTATAGAGCAGCTCACTCACACTGGGTCTTATATCTCAGCAGCACATGCAGTGACAGGAGCAGGAGTCTTCAGGGTCTCCTGCCACACCTAAATGAGAGGTGGAGCGGGGAGGGGAGGAAGAAAGGAAAAGGAAGTTCCTGAAATAAAGTGACATGTATGTATGTAAGCAAGCACTAAAAGAATTTTCTAGCCTCTCTTATAAGAAAGAAAGTACTAGGCTTAATTTAAAAAAAAAAAAAAATCTTGTAGTTTCTTTGGAAAATAGTGGCTGTTTGTCCTTGATTTTTGGGTTAGATGTGTAGGACTTCTATGACTCTGGCTGTAAGTTTCTTTTTTCTTTTTTCCTTTTTTTTTAATTTTATATAACAAAGTCCAATTAAATGAAAAAACATTTATACACAATATTTGGGAATTTGGGCGTTGTTCTTTCCAAACTACTTCCTGCTGGTAAGGGGCGCTGTCATGGGGGATTCGAAGAAGATTCAGAAATCCTGGCTGTAGTCTGTAGGGCTGTTTTGTCCAGCTGTTTTGAATGTAGGGTCACCTCTTACTCTGTTTCAGGCAGTCTGGCGTGATCAAACCACATTAGTCTGGAAGGAATCCACATCTTTTCATTTTCTGTGGAAACAAAAATAGAAATCCTTTTCCCCAGTAACTTGTCCTTCAACTTAAATTTTGGAGTTAAAGCATTTTTTTTAATTTAATTTATTATTTTACATGTCGATCCCAGTTCCCTATCCCTCCCTCCCTCCTCCCCTCCCTCCTTCCCTCCCTTTTACCCTCTCTGCCCTCTCACATGCACTCTAACCACCCTCCCCTCCCATCCCCCCACCCCAATTCCATATGTAGGGGAATGCCATCCAGTTGGGCTCATGTAGATCTGACAGGTCATGTGAAGTAGGAACTAGGGCTTCTCTCCTGTCTCTAGATTAAGGCAGTTATCCCTCCATGGGAAATGTGTTCGCAAAGTCCTTTTGTGCACCAGGGATACATCTTGGCTCCACTGTCTGAGGTCCCTTAGACCCTTATTCCTTCTGGCTGAGACCCTTATTCAGGGGGGCCTGAGTCAGTCCCATGCTGGCTTCCCAGCTATCAGTCTAGTGGCCGTTAGCTCCTCCTTGTTCAGGTAAGCTGTCTCTGTGTGTTTCTGCTGCCTGGTCTTGTCCTCTCCATCTGCATCTGGGTTCTAGTTTGACTCAGTGTCTGGCTGTAAGTTTCAAGAGTATAAGAAAGTCATTTAGGTCAGGCTGCTTTGAAGACTGGCTGATAGTGTAATCAGTGCCATGAGGTGACAGCAGCATCCTGAGTTCCTGACTGACTTGGCACCTTACTCAAAAGATTTTCTCTGTGTGTTCTTCTTACAGGTGGATTTGCTCTTGTCTTTCTGGTGAGAACAAGCAATGGGGTGAAATGTGCCTTGAAACGTATGTTTGTCAACAATGAGCATGATCTCCAGGTGTGCAAGAGGGAAATTCAGATCATGGTAAGACTTTGTGAATTATGACTTCTTCTTTATTTAAACTCCTGGACCCTAAGGGATAGGTGTGATACAGGCATTCCATTTAGGGCTGAACACTCCAAAGTTTCTCATTCTTTGCACATCGACCAATTGTGAATCTCTGTATTAACTGCCATTTACTGCAAGATGCTTCTCTGATGAGAGTTGAGCAATGCACTGATAAGCGAGTTTAGCAATAAATCATTAGGAGTCAATTTCATTGTTATGTCATTTTAACAAAATAATAGTAGTGGGTTTTACCCTCAGGGCCATGACTTTTCTACTGTGACTGCTTCTTAAGACAGGTATATTATGCTGCCCTAGGAAAGTCACTGGGCAGGCCTGACACCCTTCCTTGAACTGGCAGCAAACTCTTACACAAGGTGGGACCAAGAACCAGGGTATATAGGGCTCTGTTTCTGCCTTGGTCACCCTCAGTTGGAGATTGAAGGAAAAGGAGGTTAATTGGGAGAACTGACTAGTTTAACTCAGAAAACTAGTTTGGGATCTTGGGAAAGCATTTACTCTGGAAAGCCCAACTCTCTAGGGAGCTTTTCTTTTTTTATTGCTTTCCCTCAGTTACCAGCCCCTTGTTCTGACTGCCAACCCCTCTGAGTCCTCTGCATCCTGTGAATATGTCCTGACACAGCTTTATGCTTTTTACAGGTTTTCCAGCTGGAGCAATTCCTGTGCTTTGGCCACAGTGTCAATACTTCATAATGCCTTGTGATTCCATTTATAAAAGTCCATGAATAGCAGGATTCATTGTGGCATCAGAAGTCAGAAAATAATTATTTAGGTTGGGAAATGGGCCAGGGAATGTATTTTTGGAACCTTCTGGGTTATGGAAGTGTGTTGTTTTGTATAGTGATCAAATGCATTAAGATCTGTATGTTTTTATTTTGTAAATTATACCTTCATTTTAAAAACAAACCCACTAAGGAGGGATGGCTAGGCACTTAAGAGCATGTACTATTCTAGAGGACCCAAGTTCAGTTCCCAGCATCCTCATCACAGCTACCTTTATAATCACAGCTACCTTTATAATTCTAGGTACAGAGAATACAATACCTCTGGCCTCTCAGAGCACCTGTGTGTACATGCATGTAGATACACAGAGACACATCTTTAAAAATAAAGCAGATCTTTAAAAACATATTGTATAAATTTAGATTTCTATCATTATTAGAGAGTTTGTATCAGAAGTATAACCTGATGTGTTTATGATGAAATGGTGTATTATTGTGAAGACAGTAACTGGATTTAAAAGAAAGATTTAAAAGACCATGGTTTGAGTGAAGTGACAACTTCTTGAGAGCTTGTTAGTTATTATTGGTTGATTTTGCTTCTGTTTGACATTATGCATAATAAAAAAACCTTTAAATATGTACATTGTTATTTTTGGTATTTCTACAGCTTTTGTTTATACCAATTATATTGCTTCCTTTACCTGTTATGTTTTAGGCAGTTCTGCCATCACAATATGAGTTATTTAAAATCAGAAACTTAATGTTTGACACATTTTCTTAGCATGTAGAAAGCAGTTCAATAAAAGAGTGTCTGCATGTTGGCAGAGATAGATGCAAATGTTCACTTAGAAGTGACTCCTTCCAGCTGTAGATTTTAAAGCCTTGGGAAAGAGCAGGCATAAAAGATAGGTGTGGTGAGATCCTAAACTGAAAGTATTTGGGAATAACCTAATACTGTTAAGCCAACCAGCCAACCCCCAAGGCTCCAGAGCACAGGGATCTGTCTGCAGTGGGCCTAAGGTGCTCTGCTTGCCCTGTCTCCTATACATAGGAGGTTCCTAGATATTTCTTATGCCCTCACCCCTCCTTTATCTCCTTCAGCTCCTCTTCCTCCATGCCCCTCCTTCTTCCCTTTTCCATCCCGCCCTCCTTGCTCATCCCATGCTTGCTCAGCTGTTCATATTTCGTTTCCTATATCTGCTGCTGCTGCTCTTTCTTCTGCCCAGAATGGCCTTCTCATTCTTTTGCTTATGTTAGAAAAACAATCCCGTTCTTTCATTTTCTCCCACTCATTTTGAAACATGAAGGCTTGTTTTGTGTTAGTAGAGAAACCAAGAAGCACAGGCCGGAAAACTCACAATGAGTTCAATTAGGAGTTCAGGTGTATGGGATCAGTTTGGGTCCAGGGATGCATTAGGTAACAAGAAAACATCAAACAGTCTCACACCATTCTCCTGTGCCATCTCAGGATCCTAGAAGTGATCAAGGTAGTTGATTCTTGGAATGTACTTCCCAAACCATGCTAGTTCTTGGTTTTACTTCATTTCAGGCATTGTTTCCATGAGAAATAAGGATTTAGTTCTTTTCATCCTGCAGTACAGCCCACCTCCAGTATTAGTTTTACTCTTCCTGAATTCAGAGAGTTAAGCAACAGGAGCATTTCCCTCCCACCAATGTGAGAACCAAGACTACCTCTTCTGAATTTGCTGATGGAGTGTAAGCACTGTCACATCCCCACATAGCCATTCCCACCAGGACTTGTATGTGTTTGTCCTTTGCTCTCAGTGTTCTCAACAATGTCATCTGGGACTGTCCTCCATTATGCCAGCCATGTTTTAATGTGCAGGTGTAGCTATTTATCTGCTTAACTCTCTGAAGAGTTGTCCTGGGTTCTGACTGGATGGACCTCAAGCTGGTGATGGACTCCTAGCTAGTGTTCTGTGGAGCCAGCTTGTTCTTGTGGAATTCCCTAGGCTCCATCTCCTTGTCAAGCTTCCATCTCTCCTCCTGCTTCACTCTCTCCTCCCCACTCCCCCCTCCTGTGGAGATAGTCACATGGCTGCTTCCTCTTATGCACTGGACTTTTGGAACCAAATTGAAGAAGTTTTTGTTTAGCCCTCAATTCTCTGAAATTTTATAGTTTTACACTTTACATTTAAAGTCCATGAACCTTTATATAAGTTGCAAGACTTTTGTCGATGGTCTACTCTTGGCTTATGGATGGCAAATTGTTTTAGAATCAGTTCTGAAAAGGTATTCTCTGTTCTGCTGGTTGTTAAATATCACTTGAACTGGAATTGTAGCATATTTGTCTATATACAAGGTCCTGGGTTTGACACCTCCCCCATCCCCCTCTCCCACACCCCACCCCTCTACCCCCCAGCACCCCTGATCATCCCCTATACCTACCACCCACAGGAACTTAAATTGTAGGGGCCTATTACTAGTTCTTTGTCTGTCTGTCTGTTTGCTTATCAACTGTATGCATATCTCTCCACCAATATCCTATAATAGTCTTGTTTTTGTATCTAGATGGTAAGTGTTTTTTTGAGTCAGAGTCTCATGCTGTAGCCTTGGGGTATTTTAAACTTTGTAGCCAAGGCTGGCCTTGAACTCCAGATCCTTTTACCTCCATCCACCTAGTTCTGGTATTATAGGTATATGCTATCACACCCAGCTGTCAAACAAGATTCTCTCATATTTTCCCCAGAATGTTTTAAAAATATTCTAGTCCACATATTTCTGCCACCATGCCCTCCCTTCCATGATGGCTGAAACTGTTCTTAAACCATGGGCCAAATCCTTTCTTAAGTTGCTTTTATTAGGCATTCTGCCACATCGATGAGAAAAGAAACTAATATACTATGTGAACTAAAAATATGTACATATATATGTATATATACATATACATATATATGTATACACACACATATAATTAAAAGCAATGTAAGTGGAAAAAGACAGGTATTTCAAAGGTTGGTCAGTTCAATATGAATGTGTATGTAGAGTGACATGGCTGACAAAAAAAAGAGAATGCAGTTTTTGGTTCTGTTGATGGCAGGGCAGAGGATGGCTGTAGTGGGATATTCACTTTGTCTCCTTCTTTGGCACTGACCATGCCCATTGGGGGTGGAGCCAGGGGCGGAAGTGACCTGTGGAAGGAGGTCTGAGGAGGAGCCAGGAACGCTTTCTGGCTGGCAGGTCGGGGAGAGGAGAGCATCTGGTCTAACTTGCTGGTGTTCATCTGTCCAGGTTGTAAGTTATTTCTCCCTGAATAAGCATCTATTCGGCCTATTTGTTTATCCTGATCTTTATTTAACAGCAATAGATGGCAATGGTAGTTTACTCCTCATGTGTCAGACTAGACCTGTAGTCCTTTATTCATCTCTTGGGGGCATCCCTATTCAAAACAGCAAACACACACTATAACAAAGCAACACAGCTATAAATGAAGAGGCAGCCAAAGTGAACTCAAAAGTTATGGCAAAGAAAGTGAGCATGTCCCGTTACCACCATTTGAAGAGACTGTTCTTACTTGGTTGAGTTGCCTTGGACCACATGAGAAGTAGTTGATGTAAATATATAGTTGCTGCCAAAGGGGTGTTGTGCCAGAAGGTGAAATCGATGATCTGCTCCTTCAAAGGTTAAAAGCTTATTAGGGTAGAAGCTGGCTTATTGATTGATGGACTTGTCCTTTATTTCCTTGTGGACTGGCAGTAGTCTACTGAGCAGCCAGCATCTGTGAACTAACCACACTTGGAGTGCTGCTGTAGGGCCTTCCTAACTTAAGTGCCACTGAAGCAGTATGGCACACAGCTGAGGACAGTCCTGACAGATCAGAATCTGCTTTACAGTGTGATCCCTTGTTGATTCCTAGTCCTATTAAAGTCTGAGGTGCAGTGCTACAGAGTAGGAAGGACTATAGGGGATATTTTAAAGGTCTGTTCAGTAAGTACAAGACTAATTGAGTAAAAAGAAAAAAAAAAGTATCCTAGTTTGATTTTCTTTTATTTTTGGTAGAACATTGACCAAAAACAGTTTGAGGGCTAAACTTTCAGGTTACAGTATATAGGGAAGGAGTCAGAGCAGGAGCCTGGAGGCAGGAACTGAAGCAGAGACCATGAAGGAGTGCTGCTTAATGGCTTGTTCCCCAGCTCACATTCAGCTAGCTTTCTTACACAGCCCAGGCCTATCTGAGGAATGGTACTGCCCACAGTAGGCTGTCCCCCACATCAAACAATCAAAAAATGCCCCAAAGACATGCCCACAGTCCATCCTGAGGGGAGCAATTCTTCAGTTAGGGTTCCTTCTTCCTGTTAACTCTAGTTTGTGTCAAGTTGACAATGACAACTAAGCAATGTGGAATGTACATGTTGGTGTGGGGAAGAGAAAGTATCTTGGACTTCTTAAATAGCACACACTCAGCAAAATCCCCACTAGAGCCGAGGGCCAGCCCACAGTTTCTTTGAGTGATGACTAGAGATGTGCTTGTTTGCCCAGAAGGATTAGAAAAGAGATATAGGGTCATGAAGAGATGAAAGGAAGAGTAAAATGAAACCACACCACACCAAGCACCTCTTTCCAAAGTAAAAACCTTATCCCTGAGCTGCCATCTTGTTTCCCCGCGCGCCTGTGTGTGCCTTATCTCAGCCAGTCTGTCCAAGACCCCCTGAGCGCGAACCCTAGTCCCCCGCGCAGCCCCATTTCCACTCCGACAAGATGAAAGAAACGATCATGAACCAGGAGAAACTGGCCAAGCTGCAGGCACAAGTGCGCATTGGTGGCAGAAAGAAGAAGGTGGTCCATAGAATAGCCACAGCAGACAACAAAAAACTGCTGTTCTCCTTAAAGAAGTTAGGGGTGAACAAACATCTCTGGTATTGAAGAGGTGAACATGTTTACAAACCAAGGAACAGTGAATCCATTTTAACAACCCTAAAGTTCAGGCGTCTCTGGCAGCAAACACCTTCACCATTACAGGCTACGCTGAGACAAAGCAGCTGACAGAAATGCTTCCCAGCATCCTAAACCAGCTTGGAGAAGACAGTCTGACGAGTTTAAGGAGACTGGCTGAAGCTCTGCCCAAACAATCTGTGGATGGAAAAGCACCACTTGCTACTGGAGAGGATGATGATGAAGTCCCTGATCTGGTGGAGAATTTTGATGAGGCTTCTAAGAATGAGGCAAACTGAGTTGAGGCGACTTCTGAAGAAGGTGACACTTGCAGAAGTCACAGGAGCTGCTATTTTATATCATGACTGCTTTTTAAAATTCTTTTGTTTATGAATCTGATAAAATCTAGCTCTCTAATATTTTTAAGGCCCTGGACACTGCAGCTCTTTTCAGTTTTTGCTTAAAACACAATTCATTCTTTGCAGCAAATTAAGTTGAAGAAGCCTGGGAATAAAGTTTGGAAAGGGGTTAATAAAACTCTTTGCCTAGTTAAAAAAACAAAACAAAACAAAAACAACACCTTATCCCTTCTCCCATTTTTAAGAAATTCCAGTCTATCAAGAGGGTCTTCTGGCCCCTTGGACATGTGGCTCACATGCACACGCGCGCGCGGGCACGAGCACACACACACACACACACACACACACACACACACACACACACACTCACTCAATTTAAAAAAGAAGTTTCTTTGCAGTTATCCCTTCTTTTTGGACCATGTAAATAGAATGGAGTTCTAGAAAGGCACACAACAAAATTGAAAAGCAGAGGGAACGCTAGTGTCTGAATGCTTTCTGAGTTATAAAACTTGAGCTCTGGAGTCTGCTTTTTGACCTCTGTATCTTTCTGATCTGTGACCCGAGGCAGGTGCACTGAGGCTTTTACCTCATCGAGTTTCTTTCTAATCCTATTTTGAAGATGACTTTGTTGTGTACCAAAAGCAAAACCAAAAGCAAAAGCTCTGAGCCCACTTGAGTTCCCCCTTTCTTCATCCTTAGCACAATAAGTAGCAACCACCTTTGCCCCGTCCCCCATTGCAGGAAAATAATCTCTGTTCTACCCCTTAGTAATCCTAACCTCATCCCTCTGACCTGTAGAATGGTCCCACCAGCTCTCCTTGTCTTCTGTATCATACAGTTTTCACTATCTAGTATGGTTTTCACAATTCCTGGCCATTCTTCTTTTGAGACAGCATCTTCCTTAAACACAGATATTCTGAGAGAGTGATACACAGACACTGCTCAATTCATTATATTCTCATCCTATCCAATCTCTTCTCCAAAATCTTCTCACCTTAGTCTCCAGAAGTTTCCTGTGGGTTCTTTCCTACCATTGCCTGTGTTTCTTGGGGTCTGCTGTTCTGTCAGAGGTGCTTTCTAGTCCACGACACAGAAGGTGGAGTGAGCACTACTATTGATGCCGGGGGTTCAAGAGTTTACCTGATACCTTGATGCTTCTTTCTGTTGTAGCTTTGTCATGAGAGCATTCAAATCTGCACTTAGGGTAATCAGAAACATCTTTCCCAAGGACTCTGAGCAGCCCAGCCACATGCCCACGAGCAATTCCACTGTCCCAATGGGCCACTCCAGAGCCTAAGCTTCAGTTAAGCACACAGACTTATAGAAGCATGTATGCCATCTCCTAAGCCTTTAAAACAAAGGTAAAATAATGTGTTACAATTAATTTATGAATCTTAATTTTACCTTGCATCTGTATAAAAAGCATAATGTCCAGTTTCCTCATGTTTTCTTTCCCCAACTTAGTTTTTAATGATCTTGGGTTTCAGCATCATCATCATAGATATCTCCTCTGAGGTCTAAGATATGAGGTGATTTCCATTGCCTGGGTGGTACTTAGTAGGTACCTCTTGGGAGGATGAAAACCCATGAGCAGCAGCCCTGAGAGCTGATATGCTGTTCAGCTGATGCTGCATCTTATGTCCCAGTTGGCATCTGGAATGGGTTAATTATGAGAGAAATGTTCGGTCGGGTTTAGCTAGTATTGTAGTCTCTTCAAATCTTGCAAGGCAGTTTTTCTTTTCTTATATTTCCTAAAAGGAAGCTGTTAAAAGTCAAGTTGGAGCATGTTCAGAAATGTTCCCTCTTTTCTTTATGAATTTGTGCAGGCTACCCAGCTAAAGCCCTTGTTATTCCTTTGTTCAGGGAAGACACTGCTTTGAAAAGAACTCTGTTAAATGCTGCAGGTAGTAAATCTTTCTCCAATCCTATCACCCCCCCAACACACACACACACACACACACACACACACACACACACACACACACACACACACACACAAAAGAGAAAGAAAATAAATATTCAGCCTGAATTCACTTTTGCCCCCATAAACAGAAGCATAGATTTCTTTTTTTCTGTATTAAAATTTTATATGCTTGAGTAGTTGTTGTGTTTTTTTTTTTTTTTTTTTTTCCTCTACAGTGTTTCTGGATGCTACAGGAGTCCTTGCTTCTGGTTTAGGTGCAACATTAATGTGGTGACCAAGTGGGTGTTCTGTGTGTGGTTCATTCTAGAGTCACAGTTCTGGAGAATGCTGTGGTTAATCAGGACAGTGGAATTGCTATTGGAGATCTGTCCGGGCCACCAGACCAGCGGAAACTTGTTCTTGATTTCACTCTCCTTTTTTTTTTTTTTTTTTTTTTTTTTTTTTTATACACTGTTAGTGTTGTTTCTATGTATTTAAATTGTCTGTGCTAATGGAACCAAGCTGGCTAATTCTGCCCCTATTGTGACTATAACTGACAATGTACTTCTCCACTCTTGTTCACAGAGGGACCTATCAGGGCACAAGAACATTGTGGGCTACATTGATTCTAGTATCAACAATGTAAGCAGTGGCGACGTATGGGAAGTTCTCATTCTCATGGACTTCTGCAGAGGTGTGTGTTGAGCCTACTGAAGCTCTTGTTTCTGGTACTTTAATGGTTAAGGGCATGGGGACCATTGCACACCAAAGATAATGCTCTGGTTTCACAGATGGGAAAGCTATTCAGTCCATTGCTGCTCTTGGTTATTTTCATGACTACAAGGGTTATGCTACAAAGAATTGAAAGCAATAGGTAATTCCAGACCTTGTCTTCATTAGATATAGAAAGGTTTGGCTGTATATATAAATGAAACCACATGAAAATGAGAAAAAATGGGTTCTTTATGAGATTTTTAACAGTGAAGGCACATAATAAAAGCATAGTACAGAATCTGCAGCTTCCTTACCTGTTTTTCCACTCACACCACTGCCCTCCTATGATGGAATGGAAGAATTATTTTTGTCTGTAATAGTGACCTTCTTATTGCCCTGGGGTTGTAATGCCTGGTAAAGCTACATTCAGGTGCTGCTGCTTCCAGCTGTAAGTAGATGAAAGCTTGAAGTTTCATGCATATATCATGAGAAATCCAGACTGTAGCACAAATATGTTGAGTTGATGACATCACATGCACCCATTGTTTGGAGATTTGGCTCTTTTAACCTAAGCAGCTGACTTTATAGTAACCAATAGTTTTGCCTTTTGTTGACTATTAATCTGATTTTGTAAAATGCCACCAAATTTGAAATTTACAAGTATTATTCCCCTTTGACTGTTTTTTTTTTTTTTTTTTTTTTTTTTGCATTGGACCTTTTAGATGCCAGGCAGTAGGATGATTCAGATCTGGATAATTTTGTTTAAGATTGGTAACCAGTCTTTTGTTCCCAGAGAAACCAAGTTCCCCCCAGACTTCAAAGTGGGAACAGCCCCATCTTTTTCCCATTTCCTGGATTTGTTGTGTTGTCTAAATTTTTCCCCGAAAGACATGGCAGAGGCTATGGCCTCGTCTCCTACACCATGGGGACATGACTACCACACAGCAATAATTGACTGTGATGTCAGTTCTGCTTCTAATCATGAGGATACAGTAAGGACAGCTCACATCTGTGTGCTTAATAAAATAATCTGGTTTTGATGCATCAGAGGAGACATTGGGTTATAAGAAAACAAAGACATTGGGTTGTAAGAAAACAAATCTCAAGCAGGTTTAGTGCTGGCTTGGCCAGTGATACACTTCTGTCCCAACAGCTGTCAGTGCCTTGGTCCAAGGGATGTGTCTGCTGTTAATATCCTTTCCTGTACCTGTCTCAGGAGGCCAGGTGGTAAATCTGATGAACCAGCGTCTACAAACAGGCTTTACAGAGAATGAAGTCCTGCAAATATTCTGTGATACCTGTGAGGCTGTTGCCCGCCTACATCAGTGCAAAACTCCTATTATCCACCGGGACCTGAAGGTAACAGACGGACTGCTTATGGAGCATGTTTTTACTGAGTTGAGTGTATGTCTGTCCCAGGAACATGTATTGAGGGGTAGGAAAGACACAGTTCCTAATTTTGGGCTCACAGTGAAGTTAGGGAGAGAAAATAGAAAGGAAAAGCACAATAGGAGTATCAACTTGTTAACTAGCCTCTAGAATTTTTAAAATTTCAAATGCCTGAACTCAGAGACTGTGTGTCTTGGCCAAGTTCTTACAAATAGGAAAGGGTAGTATCAGGATTTTAATCCAGCTCTTCTGTGTGAGATTTCATATTACACTCTGCCTCAATATCACCATGTGGGCGGCGGCAGCAGAACTGTAAGAGCATAGGGACATTGCTTGACAGTACCAAATGCAAAGGCCATTTTTGAGTGTTTGTCTTAGTCTCCCAAGCAGCACTTGACCCCTTTAGTACCCTGACTTTCCCTACACTCTGAGGTATCAACTCAAGCTCCTTAGCTTGTTCCTCAGGTTATTTGACCTCTCCAGACTATGTGGTTCTGTCCTCTCTAAACTATGGATAGCAATGTCTGTTGTTGAACTGTGTGAACATGGGCTGGTCTGGGTGTGGTCTGCTTATTCACAGGCAAAACTGAGGAAAGTTCCAGTTGCCCTGCCTAGCATGAGTGTGGCCTCTTTCCATTCCTACATAGCATATGAACTCAAAGTGTGTAGTCCTTAGGCTGTATATGTCCTGAAAATAATCACAATGGAGGTACTGTGCTATGAAAGAGGTCTCTTCAGATGTTATTATAATGTTTCACTTATTTCCTCTCAGATTTAATTTCCATTTCTTTGAGAGAAGATAATGGGGTCAAATCTGGGAAAATCACCTATTCTTACTTTTACTATTTGCCAGTACAGAATCCTTGCCAGAGAAACTATGATTTCTGCCCCCACAGCTAATTAAGTTATCAGATCAGAATAGAGACAGAAGTTGTTTTTTCTGTTTCCTTCTTTTTTAAATTTATTTTGTTGTGTTAATTTGTACTAGTTGTCCATGTACTTAAGAAAAAGCAAGGAGTAGTTCACCTCAGTATTGAGGTGAAAAATCACAGATCTCACCTTTTTTTTTTTTTGTTTGTTACAAAAGAGACTTTGATCTCATGAACTATAAAAGGGTAAGGTCTCTTACCCTAAATTTAAAAGCACACATCTGAAAATGTGTTCTGCTACCCCCCCCTCCAATATTCAATTCTCTGAAATGCCTCAGTGCCAAGCTGTTTGGAATAACACCGAGGCAAAGAGAGGCCAATGAGAGTTAGCTTTCCAGGACCCTAGCAAAGGCTCTGTTAGAATTTGGAGTGATCGCTTTAATAAGACTCTTAAGCTGTTAGGCTGGGAATAAGATCAATGGCTTGGACTCTGAAAGAACTAGTGTTGAACAACGGTGGGCAGTGGTATTATAGCTTGGATCTGAAGTGTCACCCACAGACTTGTGTTCTCACTAGCTTTTCCCCAGCTGGTAGGGCCTTTAGGAGGTAGAGCCTAGCTGACAGAAGTAGATCTCTAGGGGTGAGCCTTTTAAGAGGTATAGCCTGGGCCCAGGTTTCAGCCACTCTCTGCTTCCTGGTTGGTTCACTGTGATGTGATGCATGCTACCATGCCTTCACCTCTGGATGGATGGAAATACCCTAAAAAAGTAAACCAGAATAAACCTTTTTCCCTTAAGTTGCTTCTGTCAGTTACTGTGAGCATAGCAACATAAGGATGACTACAAATGGCAACCAGTCACAAACTTGTGTCCTCAGAACTCTGTCTGAGCTTGTGACTGCCCTTACTCTCTGCCAGTGTGTGTGAATGCTAGTCAGTTCTCTCCTTCACTAAGCTCTTTTAACTTGTTACCTTCCACTTGCCCCTTCCTATTGCTGTTTGCCCTTGCCTGGACCTATTCCTCTTCCTTCGTGCTCTGCCGTCATGTCTCCTTTCTTTTATTGTTTCTCTTCTGCAAAGATGAGAGAAATGGTGTGTCTTCTTGAGCTCCTAAAGTTAAAAATCCCAAATGCCTCCTTTGTAGTCTTCCTCAGTCTCTCTTTGTCTGTACTCTGCTCCCTCCCTTCTCTCTTACTAGCCTGAAGTGTCCGTGCTCATTAACTGCATGCTACATATCATCATGGTGGCTGAGTGTGGTCTCACAAGTCAGCCAGTCTGGCGCTAAATTCTGCCCTGTCAGCCTGACCCCAGAAAAATTGAGTATTTGACTGGCTTGTCTTTTTCCCTCTGTTAAGAGGGACAGCAAAGATTAATAAGGATTACATGGCCACTATACATAAAAGTGCATCGGTTGTCTGGCATGTGGTACTGATTCCAATATTGGCAGTAATGTCACCCCTACCTCAGTACTTTATTCCTGTGCCTAGTTTTACCTCTTAAATCCATTACCTCTTCCAAAGCCACACATACCTCCCCAGAAGTGACAGCACTGTCCTGTGATACCCCTGTTCCACATTTGCAGCTTAGTACCAAGCTGGCCCAGCTGCATGGGCTTACTCCTATGCATCAAACCCTCAGGTGCATGCCCATCTCCAGGTCTCACTGCAGCTTCTTGCTCTAAATGTTCTGTTCCTAAATGGCCCATGGCTGCAGCATCTCATTCTGGCCTCCTTATTAGAAAGGCCTTCCAGGGCATTCCTTTTCAGTTTACCTATATTTAACCAGCAGAGATTTTTTTAAAATAGTATTTTCAATACCAGACAACTATAATCATTTTTTTATTCCTACTTAGACTTTGAGCTCCAGAAGAGACTGGGTTTTGTTTTTCTACAGCCGTATCCCTGGACCTAGAAGAGTACTTGGCATATTGTAGGAACTCAAGCATGTTTATTTCATATGTGAATGACAGTAATATTTTATATTTGTCAAGGAACTTACATTCCTTTACTTGCTTCATTGTAACAGTGATGGAAATGTTGTGGGTCCTGCTTTGCAGATAAGAAACAAGCTAAAAGAGACTTGCAGATTTAACTAAAGCCAAACATCAGAAATACTCTTGAAGTCTTCCACCCTGAGTCCACTGTCATTGAGTGCTTTGGTGGTGGTGATGATGGAGAGTAGCTGGTAGTGGCTAGGCTGGCCCAGGTTTTCACAGAATACTCTGAGAAGAGATAGAGAAACTGCCAACAAGCAGTTTCACTTTCAGAGTTTCGACACTCCCCTCAGGCGGGCAAGTAGATAGAACAGACAGTGTTGTTTATTTCAAGCCAACAGTGTGCCTCATCTTACTTTACTTTGTCTGCTTAATTCCAGTAGGGATTTTTGATGCTATCATTACCATGATATTTATTATAAATGAACTTTTTAGTTTTCTAGATAGATGAACATTCCATATTACAAGCATAGAATGTAACTCAAAAAGGGAGAGGCTGCTTAATCTAGGAGAAGCATGATTTCACATAGGTCCTGTAGGGTGCATAAGGCTGGGAGAAAAATCATCTCTACCCAATGCGGATTGAGTGATTTCACAGACTTTTAAAAATGCCTGCTGAAGTATGCACTGGTTTAGCATCTGTGAAGGATTCATAGGCTACAATACACCACCCTGGCCCAAAGGATTTGCACTGTACTGGGGAAGGAATCATAAATATATCAGTAGTCAGCTACAGATCTGGAGGAGAATTCTGAATCATCAGCCAGATCAAACAGTGGTAAACTTTGCCAGCAGAAGGGCAGATAGGACTGTTTTAGACGTGATAGTAATATAGTCTCATTGAATTGCTCAACTCTTCCACTGGAGAAAAAGTAGCTATGTTCGCCAGATTTCATTGCTGTGACAAGTACTTGAAAAAAGCAAAAGAAAGAAAAATATTTTGGTTTGTAGTTAATTTTCAGTCCAGGGTGGCTTGATTCATGGCTTTGAGCTGAGGTGAGGCAGAATGTCATGGTGGGTACTTAGTAGGAAGCAGAAGGAAACAAGAAGGGACTGGGAACCAGAGAGAACCTTTAAGGTAAGGGCACATAACTAGTAATCTATTTCCTAAAAGCTCATTCAGCTGTGAACTCATGTGTGGATCAGTTCATTAAAGAAAGCAACACTTTCATGATTGGATGTGCTAGCTGCAGACCAAGATTTTAACACAGGAACCTTTTGATGGGCATTTTGCACACAAACTACAACATGTAGACCTGTGGGCATGACTGTGTTTAGCCTGAAGGCCTTTCCAATTCCTTCCTGTGGGTAATAAATTGTACGTATATTTTAGAGTAGTCATGGAAGGTTTTGCCAGCAAAGTTTTCATGAATTGCCAAGATTTGTCTAATGGAGAGTGAGCAATGGAGTAAAGGGACAGATTAGATAATAAAAAAAAAAAAAAAAAAAAAGAGTAGGTAACCCTGAACAAAAACATCCAGCTAGGAAGGATGGCTGACTTTTTATTGTCTAGATTCCCATTCTAGGGGCATTTATTAATATAAAGAGGTAAGAAAGCTGTCCACAAGTCTACTCCCATGTCCTCACAATCCCCACCATAGCTCAGAGCTCAAGGTGGACATGAGGTCTTGATTGATTTGTTTCTAACTTTCCTCCCCTGGCAACAAATGGTGTTGTCTGTATTTTCTTAGAGTTACATGGGTTAGGTTCACTCCAAGCTCAGCTCTATTGCTTATTAGCCATGTTACAGTATTGACTGAATTACTGTGAGCCTCACTTTCTCCAGCTGTAAGATGGGAATAATAATCCATGAATTGTGCTGAGTATGGGAATACTGGCAATAGCTACTGCTTATCAAATAGTGAGTGTTGCTTTGTTGGGATTATTATTTTGGATTCTTAAAGTGAGTTTATGCTCAGTATAGCTTGACTGTTTCTCTTTTGGTAAATAGATCAAATTGATGAGCTTTATAAAAAAGAAAGAAGTAGTAGAAATATTTTCTGCCTTAGCTTTAATTTCAGGAGAACAAATCTTCCCCAGTCATTCGTAATTCATAATTCTGTGGTTGAGAATTCTTCATCATAAGAACCTATTTATTTAGGTTCATAGCCATCACTGCTGCCTTTCCATAACTCTAGGTGAGTAGAACAGATGGGGTGCTGCTGGCACCTCCATTCTGATCCTCTCTAGCAGAACCACAGACTTAAAAGATTTTTTTACACTCGAAGGTCAAAGGACACCATCTAAAAACAACATTAAAACTCTTCACAGTAGCACCAAATATGAATTTAAGTAAAAAGCAATAATCTGCAGTCAGTTTGCAGCAAAGATTCCAAATAATTAGAATTAGCAAATATAGACTAAAAGTACACTTAATGCAGTTTTTAGAAGAATTAAGAGAAAAATTTAGATATAACAATAGAAACAAGAGAATTTCTACTCAATCAGATATTTATAAAGAACCAGTAGGGGCTTGGATGTTTGACTTCTGTCTTGGTTGGAACATGAATGGTCCTTGAATGTATGTATGCTCAACCAGATTATTAAGTGTGTCCTTTTTTTTTTTTTTTTTTTTAATTTTGTTTCTATCCAACAGTTTCTGTACTAAAAATCTAGTTGAGTTGGGCAAAGAAGATTCCAGCTGTGACCGAGAGGTCTTTGAGGAGCTTATAGTCTTGTTGCCTTTGTTTTTCCAAGGGAGTCAATCATTGAGGGCTGAAGAAAAGGGCCATAAAGTCTACAGTCTTAAGGGCCTAGCAAGTTTTTTTGGTTTGGGCTGCTATTTTATTGCCATGTATAGCCAGGTCTGTCTTCCCCCATCCCAGTCAACTCATTTCCCCACAACAAGAACTCATCAGTGTATCTTGACAATGTTTTCTCAGTATTTTTTCTTTTAATTCCAGCACTCGGGAGGCAGAGGCAGGCAGATCTCTGTGAGTTTGAGGCCAGCCTGGTATACAGAGATAGTTCCAGGGCAATTAGGGCTCTCATACAGAGCAACCCTGACTCAAAAACCAAAATAAAAAATATCAAGAGTAAAAATTTGAACTAAAACTTTTATATTTTATATGTATAGTCTGTATTTCTGTTCACCATGTGCATGCTTGGTGTCTACAGAAGCCAGAAGAAGGCATTGGCTCCTCTAGAACTGGATTTCCATATGGTTGTGAGCCACCGTGTAGGTGCTGGGAATGGAACTTGGGTCCTCTTCAAGAGCAGTGAGTTCCCTTAGCTGCTGAGCCTTCTCTCCTGCCTGTGCCCATTGTTTCACTGGCATAAGTGTTTCTCTAGGTCTTGGTTCTTACAACTTCCACTAAGTTAAAACTCTTAACTTCCTTTGTTTAAAAGTTCAAACAACCAACCAACCCAAACCCTCAGTAAGATTCTAACAGAGAAACTGCTCATTTATCATGAGGCGTTTTGTCACTTTGAGAAGTAACACTTTGAGAAGATATGAAAAATGTCAGTTCAGAAAGTGTTAACCTAATGTAATAAAGACATTATTGTACCCACTTAAAAGTGAATAATTGACAGCATGGAAAATGAAACACTAAAGTGAAATGGGGAAAACAGTATTTTTCAGATTTGGGTCCTTGGGAAGGCTTCCAAAAGGAGGTAGCCTTTGTATGTGGATTTGAAGGGCAAATGATTATTTGATAGTTGGATAAGAGGCTAGGATCATGAAGAGTGTGCTAGATTGAAAGTATAGCAAAAGTTTCAAAGCATAATCCCTGTTACTACAGAGGTGAGGAATGTGACTGGCTGTAGCTGACATGAAAATGGGGGCCTGGCTTTCCAACAGTACAGTACCCTCTGTCTCACTCTTTGCCCACATTTTTTTTTTTTTTTAATTTTTTTACACCCTGTTCTTCTGTGTTCTTTTTGCTTCAGTTGGATGAGTCTTGTTAAGATACATGGTGAGGAATACTTCTCTGTGCATACTAATATGATTGTGAAAATGAAACCTTTTGTTATGTGATTGTGAAATTAGCTTTTCCCATTACTAAGTGGCATCTTGGATTGGGCGGTTTGGGAATGTTTTTCAGGTTGAAAATATTCTCTTGCATGACCGAGGCCACTATGTCTTGTGTGACTTTGGAAGTGCCACCAACAAATTCCAGAACCCACAGGCCGAGGGAGTCAATGCAGTAGAAGATGAGATTAAGAAGTAAGCCTTTTCTCTTTTCCTGGAGTTTTGTTCATTGTCAGATGAGCACATTCTCATTCAGCCTATGGATGAAGCAGTGAGAAGAACATGGCGCTGGCTGGTTACCCTTTTCCCAAAGCGGACTGGTTACTGTGGCATTGTTTGATTGCATGTGGAGGCTGAGGAGGGAAAACTGGCTGGTGGACTCACAAAAGGGTCTTACAACTTGCTCAGTGCTCCTATGGTCTCTATATTCACGTATTTTAATTTATAGTGCTCATATCCATAAAAAGATGAGTGGTAGCTAGAGAGGGTGGGTAAGTTGTGGTATATCCTTATAGCCCCAGTAACTCAGGAGCTAAGGCAAGAGAATTTAAGTTCAAGGCTGGCCTGGGCTACATAGCCAGACCTTGTCTCAAAAACCAAAAGGAAAACTAAAGGCTAAATGGTGGTACGTACTTGTTGAAGTATCATATTTCCAAGTGATGTCACAGGATAGTATTATGAATGAGCCAGGTATGTGATTTTTACTGAACTCTAAATTGCTACCTTTTTTTTTTTTTTTCATGAGGAACTCAACCATTCTCTAGTGGAATTTATGGTAAAGAGAGCTATTGAAACCTCTTTAGTTACTGAATCAGGGACCTGACAGGAAGTCTCTTTAGATTTTTGACTCCTAGAAAGCTCATGCCCACAATGTTAAGTTTTCCTAGGCATAATGCACTCACTATGGCTTCCAGTAAATCAGCTGTCCATTATGTACTGTAGATGGTGAGCCTCTGTCCCCTTTGTGTATCACTCAAATAACCATGCCCAACGCAAGACCACTTCTTGTCCAAGGCCCTGATAAGACACGCCCCCCCCAAAAAAAACAAACAATAAATCTCCCTGTCTCCCTGGGGCCAGATACCAGAGCAGCTTAGTTGAATGTTTAGTAATGTCAAGACATTCACTTGGGACAAGTGCTTACACTGCTGTTTTCTTGATTCAAAGATAAGAACATTGTAGTTTCAGTCTCAAAGAATCCATGTTTATGGAGCTGTGCATAAAATGCTTGCCATGCAAATGTGAGGGCCAGAGTTCAGATCCTTAGCACTCATAGAAAATCCTGGTGGGAACGATGGTCTATCTGTAATCCCAGCACTCAGAAGGTGGAGACAGGGATTCTCTGGAGTAAGCTGTCATTATACCAGCAAGTGTCAAGACACAAATTGGAAAGTAATACCCCAATGTCCTAGAAGTAAAAGGTCTTCTGTGAGAGGATGCAATAACATCATTGTACCAAGGATAATCTTTATCTGTACTATTTAATATGCTTTTCTCCAGATTTCTACCAGAGAATTGGATTCTAGTAATGTGAAAAAAAAGTTGCTTCTATAACACTGATATATTTAACAAACCATGGATCTCTTGATTGTAGATACACAACATTGTCCTATCGAGCCCCAGAAATGGTCAACTTGTACAGTGGCAAAATCATCACTACAAAGGCAGACATTTGGGTATGTGTCAACTAAGTCATCCACACCCCAGATGTCAGCAGGCCTTGGCTGATTCCTGAGCTTAACTAGCCAGGGGGCGAGCCACACAGTGTTGTCCATTATTGTTGATGATCTTTTTATTTTATTTATTTTAGTGTGTGTGTGTGTGTGTGTGTGTGTGTGTGTGTGTTTGTTTGCCTGCATGTGTGTCTGTGTACCATGTGTGTGCAGTATCCTCAGAAGAACTGGGGTTACATATAGTTGTAGCTGCCATGTGGGTGCTGGATATTGAAGTTTGGTCCTTTGGAAGAGCAGTCAGTGCTCTTAACCACTGAGCCATCTCTACAACACTCTTGATGTAAGGGGAAGACATAGCCTCTTGTGATATGGGGTAAAAACAAACAACAACAAAAAACAAACCTGCTTTGCATGTTGTTCCAGTGCTTTTCATTTGTATGGTAGACTTTTAAAGAATAAATCAGGTGAAATAATCTTATCTACTAATCATAGATAAAATGTAACTCAGATGCTAGATTGTCACTCTGGGTTCTAAATTCAAATGTTGCGTAGGTAATAATATTATGTGGGGTTTGTTTCTGCTGCAAAACATGGCTGGTACTGGATGCTGTAAGCAGATCACTGGCTTAACAGTAAATAAACCACTAGTTGCAATCTGATTTCTTATTTTTTTAGGCTCTTGGCTGTTTGTTGTATAAATTATGCTATTTCACTTTGCCATTTGGGGAGAGCCAGGTGGCAATTTGTGATGGAAGCTTCACAATTCCTGATAACTCTCGATATTCTCAAGACATGCATTGCCTTATTAGTAAGTATTTCAAGTTTCTAGTTTTCTATTTTTATTTCTAGTCACCAGGAGTTGATGGAGGATAAGGGATTAAATTCCAGAAGTAAGATTGAGTGCCAATGATAAAGGTAGCATGGTAGTGTTTGTTCGCTTAGAGAAGTTGTCTTTTTACTGGAAAACTATACTCTGCTTCACGATTGAGCCAGCCACACAAATGGGAATGGTAGTTGTTCTCCGAGCAGCATGATGCTCCTGTGTTCTGCAGTCTACGTGAGAGCTTCAAGTCCAGTTGACTCACATCAAGTGCTAAGAAATTCATCTTTGTAAAGCTGGAAGCAGCTCAAGTGAGCATGATTGTGCTACTGGAATGAATGTGTAATTAAGACATAATTCCATGGAGCCAGGTTTTTTTCTCTTATTTAGGTTATCACTGGATTTTTACAACAAGCATCTAAATTGAGTGTTTTGTTTAAAATTCTGAAGATTTTCCTTTGTTTGTGTTAACATAGCCAGCATATGTACTAACATCCATTAACCAGATGACAGAAAAGTAAGTTTTATATCAGAACCTGTACTAAAATGCTACAGAAATAGATTTATTAAAAAGTCATTTTAAAAAAAAAATTCTGGTCAAGACATTTAGCAACCAAGTTTGAAAAAAAAACATCATAGACCATATATCCTGAGCTACCTAATTTGAGAGAAAGAGAAGTGAGGTAGAATATTGACCTGTGTTGAGGCCCTGTACCTCACCTATTCTCAAAAGCTGTAGGATGGCTTCCATCCATCCATCCATCCATCCATCCATCCATCCATCCATCCATCATCCATCCATCCGTCTACCTATCTATCTAATTTGAGACACTATCTCACTATGTAGCTTTACCTGTCCTGGAACTTATATATAAACTAGGATGGCTTCAAACTCACAGAGATCTGTCTGACTCTGCTTCCCAAGTGTTGGGATCAAAGAGGCATGCTCCACTAAGCCTGGCAAAACTGTAGATTTTAAGGGTCACTGTCCATGTTATCCATAGAGGAAACAATGAATTACTCAAGTTGTCAAAATTCGGGCAGTTCCACAACTGCCCTTTCCATTGTGACATTTCTCAATGAGCAAGAGGATGGGCTGTTTGTAGGATAGGATTGTGGACCTGGAGGATTGTCCAATTGTTGTCAAAGTGGTGTGTCCTAGGACTGCAGATAAGGAAAGAAATGGGAGAGAAGGGCTAGTCTTGGTGTTACTCATAGTTCTTCCCTTTTACTTTACAAAATACTTTTCCTTTCTAACATCTGCAATAGTGAATTCATGTTGGAAAAATAGCTCTTTATGAGTGACTGTAGCACTGACATATTTCTGGATCATATTTAGTGTGCAAGCTCTTTGAATGAAGACAGTTTCTTTCCAGCCAGGTCCTGAAGCCATTTAGTCCCAAATGAAACATATTATTTATAAACTGTTTGGCTGATGGCTCAGGCTTCTTATTGTCTAGTTCTCGCTTAACTTCTAACCTATTTTTATTAAACTTTATATTGCCATGAGATTGTGGCTTACTTGTAATGCTCTGGCATATTACTCCTTTGGTGGTTACATGGAGTCTCTCTATTGTGTCTGTCTGTCTGTCTGTCTGTCTGTCTGTCTGTCTGTCTCTCTCTCTCTCTCTCTCTCTCTCTCTCTCTCTCTCTCTCTCTCTCTCTCTTCCTCTTCCCAGCATTCCTAATCTGGTAGCTCCACCTATACTTCCTGCCTGGCTACTGGCCAATCAGCATTTATTTATCAACCAATAAGAGAAACATATTCACAGCATATAGAAGGACATCCCCCATCATTTGAAGATTTGAAACTAGTAGGCCTCAAATTCAGTCTCTTGTTGTTTCCCCAACTCCTTTCCCCAGACTGTCTTCTTTTTACTTTCTTTTGTTGGTATTGCCATCCACGCCTGGATAGGTTCACATAAATGATTTTCTCTGGGTCTGAAAGAGCAAGGAAAAGGGAAGAAGCTGACCCAAGCTGCATTGATTCTCTTCAGTCACTTGTCTTGATTCTCTTCATTATCAACAAAGTATGTACAAACTTTGATAGATCATAGCCTGGTACATTGTCCCAGCTTATCCACTCTCTCTTCATTCTTCCAGTACATCTCTACTATAGATTATTCCCAGAAAATCTCACTTTCTTATGTCCCATTGAGTATACTTGAGTGGCTCACCAGTGGTCCCACAATCAGGCACTGGTTCTTAGCATGGTGTTTAGGGTACTTTGTATTCTGTCTCTTTCCCACCTGGACAACAGTCTTGGCACATTGTTTTTTGGGCTCCTGTTTCCAGGTAGCAGTATTCATTTTTGGCCTTTATCTAAGCTTGCCTTGTTGGCATGTCCTTTCACCTGGACTGCCCTTTTCTTTGTTCTCCCATGACTAACTTTTGTACTGTCCCTTTGGCCAGGCCATTTGTGGCTCAGCCTCACAGAACTTTTCTGAACTTACTGCCCAGTTCATTTGCTCCTCAAGCAGTAAACTGTCTTGACTCTTTTGCATGTGCTTACACTTACACATGTGCTTACATCTTCTCAAAGATTTCTCCTGAGGAAGTGTCCAGTGTCAGAGACACTTGAAGGACCTGGAAGTAGACAGGCAATCTATGGAGCTGAGTATGTTAACTTCTTAATTTTTCTCAAACTAAAAACTAGCTTATATCTCCAAGAGTATTAAGTGTATTCATAAGTTTCTTTTTTAGATCTAGAGACAGAACACGGGATTGTCTTCCACTAAACCCTGAGCTCATGATGTTTGAAGGTTGGTTGTATTTGTCAACAGTCATTTGTTTAACAGAGAGAATGAGCTAGGAAACCATATGCAACATCATGGCACATTCTAAGTCTTGGAATTTAAAGCTGCTCATTTTTATGTCAAGGGTATGAGCCTCTAACATTCCAGATCAGGATGTGAACCTCAAGGCGTTTTCTTGTTTTTTTTCTTGCTAGGAAAAGGGCTCATTGAACTGTCTGGCTTTTATGAGAATTGAAACTTAAAACACAACCCAACTTCAATAGTACAAAAGTTCATTTATCTAGCTGATACAACAAATTTTAATATATTATGGAATAAGTTTATGTATGTTTGTCTTAGGATATATGTTGGAACCAGACCCTGACAAAAGGCCAGATATTTACCAGGTTTCTTACTTCTCATTTAAACTGCTCAAGAAAGAATGCCCAATTCCAAATGTACAGGTATGTGAGTGATGCTTTTTTAAATAATTTACAATTTTAAGGAAGTTTGTATTTGTTCTTTCATAATTTCACACATGTATACAATCTATTTTGACCATATCCATCCTGATTCCTCCCTCTAACTCCACCAGGACATCCTCTAGCCCATCCCCCCTCCCAAATTGTTGTCATTTCCCTTTCTCTCTCTCTCTCTCTCTCTCTCTCTCTCTCTCTCTCTCTCTCTCTCTGTTTTTAAGTAACCTACTGAATCCTATTAGTTCTGCCCATGTGCCCACAGATGTGGGGCTATCCACCTGTTACATCTCCAAAGACAAATGACTTTCTCTCAACATACTTCAACCACTCAACTCCTCAGCAAGATGTGGGGCTTCATGAGTCTCTAGAATTTTGATTAACTTGATCTTGGTTAGGTCTTATGCATGTAACCACAGCTGCCTTGAGTTCATTAAAATGGTGCTATTTAAAGGAAATAAACATCCAATTGTTATTTTTGAGTTATTGTGAGTGTTAATCTCTGGATTCAATGAGTATTTATATCCCTTGCTTTATCTACTACAGGACATTCAAGTAAAGCAGTTACTATAAGGAAAATTCAATTTTCCTATGGAATTTAATTATGAAATGGAGACAACTACACTGAACATTAACAACCCCCTCCCCTAATGCCTAGGGATTGAGCTATGAGTAGAGTGACCAAGTTCCAACTTGCATAGCTCACTGAGAGTGGCATGTCTGTTGTGTTTCCCTAGAGCGATCAGTTGATCAGTTGCCTTGTTTTCCTGAGGCAAATCTATTCACTCTGCTGTTTTCTTTTCCTGGGCATTTTGCTTTCTTGATGTATCTCATGTATTTGTCTAGCTTCCTTTCCCTATAACAGAGAGATGAGGTCCTGGTAGTCAGTCATATTAGAAGACCCCAAATGCTTTTCCATTAGCCCTAGTCAGACTGGTTGTCCCTTGTTTGGAGTTTTTGTGTATATTTTATGTTTTAAGATAGGATCCTACTGTGTAGCCCAGGCTCATCTTGATTTCATGATCCTCCTGCCTCAACTTCCCAAGTCCTAAGATTACTGTCATAGGCCATCATATCTGGCCTCGGACTGCTTATTATTTATGAAGAAATTCATGGGTTTTTTTCTTTCAATGTTTTAGAACTCTCCCATTCCTACAAAACTTCCTGAACCAGTGAAAGCCAGTGAGGCAGCTGTAAAAAAGACCCAGCCAAAGGCCAGGTAAGAAATGCTCTCAAGAGCTTGCATTGTGCTTGGTGCCAGCTTCAGTGGAAGTGCCTGCTGCTGGAGTCCTATGTGGCTGTAACTAGAGGCTGCCCAGGAAACAAGCTCTGTCTTCCTATGCAGAAACAGTTCTTTGGGAATGCCAAGAGGGATATAATGAAATGTTGAGATCTACATTGAAAGGAATTAGTAACCTCACAGATGTATCCATTGCATGGCAATAGATACAGGGGCTTTCTGGGATGAGGGAATGTCAGACTTTAAGAGCTGCTGGTTGAGAATTGGCCTTACCTGTTTCTGAGCTGGTAGTTAGCCATGTTTACTCCCTAGTCTGACACATTCCTTTCTTCTCTGGCTCCAGCCCTATTAAGAAAGTATCCTTCTAGGTCTTAACTAATCACTAGAGTTACCTAGTATCTTCAAGAACAGATACCAAGAAAGGATTAAATAAGTAAAGGAAGGTATCCAAGTCAGAGAAGACAGAGGAGAGGGTAGACATGACCCAGACTACTATACCAATTCAGGAAGGATGGCTGGAGTCCTCATCCTAGAGCCAGCCAGAAGAGGAGTCCCTTCCTACTAGAGTCTCTGCACTTGGGATTTGGGGCCTGAGAGCAGTCTATGTGAAGGAAGGTTTCAGGACGTACTGGACTGAACTTTTACATTGGTTTTCACACCTGTCTGTGTGTCTGCTAGACACAGGGTCTGCTAGACGCATTTACATGGATTCCAAATGAAAAATTCTGAGGCTGTCCAGGAAGTTCTCTGCCCCTCACCATGGCAAGGGAATTCTGGTAACAGACTATAAACAAAGAAAGACTCTGGATAACAATATGTGTATTTTTAAAATAATTTATTTGATTATTTATTAAGTGTAAATGTGCATGGGCAGATTTATGTACTCATGAAGGTAGGTGCTCCCTCTAGAGGTGAGAAGAGAATAATGGGGCCCTTGAAGCTTGAGTTATTCAACATGAGTGCTGAGAACTTAACTCTTAGCATCTCTGCAAAAGCAGTATGTGCTTTTATCCATTGAGCCACAACCAAAACAACTTATAAAAGAAAGTGTTTTATTCAGGCATAATGGAACCAGGAAGGTTAAGAGTCTGTCATGATGAGGTGGCATGACAGCAAGCAGCAGTGGTTGGTTGGAGCAAGATGCTGGGAGCTCACATCCTTTTCTGCAAGCATGAACAACGCAAGGAAGGCAAGGCCTTAAGCTCTCAGAGTCCACCCCCAGGGATATACTTCCTCTGCAGATAGCATCACCAACTGGGGACCAGGTGTTCAAATGTCTGAGACTGTGGGGAACATCTTATTCAGACCGCCAAAGGTAGTCTGGTAGTTCTGCTCCATGAAGCTTCTGGGTCCGAGGTTTCTTCATGCTTTTTACTTTCCCATCTTACGACTTACCTATGATCTTGTGTGGGTTAATGTGGCAGCACCCATATTCAAAACAGCAATATCAGGAAGTAGTCAAAGAGAGCATTATTAAAGTTTCTAGAAAATGCCAGATAGTCACCGGCTCTAATCTGTATATAGCCAGTTCCGTATATATACAGGTTATAGAAGAGGCTGTGCTAAGTGATCTTGACCTTAGGTAACTTTGTGTCCAACTAAAAATGTATTATTGTGGAAAACAAAAGTATGCATATTTGAGAAATGGTATCCCTGTCACACTCTCTAATTTTAAACTATTTTGGATAGTTTGCTTATTTCTTCCATTTGTCCTGTTGGGTACATTCATCTGCATGCTTTTCACTGTAGAGAGCTCCTTACCTTTTAAAAAGATTTATTTTTGTTTATGTGTGTGTGTGGTGGTATGTCCATATGAGTACAAAGGTCGGAAGTGGTCATCAGATCCCCTGGAGCTGGAGTTTTGGGCTATTGTGAGTTACTCTATGGAGAGGCTGGCAGCTGAGTAGCAAGCACTCATAACTCCATCTCTCCAGTCCCTAGAGAGCCCATTATGACAGCTAGTTTTAACCAAGTTTAACTTCTCTCTGTGGAAAAACCACTGCCTCAACTATTACTCAGAGTATATTCTGGAAATCCTGTGTTTGGTGAGAGAGTCTCAAGGACTCAGGAGGTAGAGGCAGGTGAATCTCTGTGAGTTCAAGGCTAACCTGGTCTATGAAGTGAGTTCCAGAACAGCCAAAGCTGTTAAACAGAGAGACCCTGTCTTGAAAAACAAAAACAAACAAACAAACAAACAAACAAAAAATGTTTGACATGCTTAAGATATCTGTTCACAGTCTTTTAAAAAAATCTTTTTGGTGTATATGTGGTATCTTCCTTCCCATCCCTTCCATCCTCCCTTCTTCCTCCCTCCTCCCTCCCTCTTTCTCTCCCTCTCTCCTTGCTTTCTTTCTTGCTTGCTTTTTTTTTTTTTTTTTTTTTTTTTTTTTTTTTTAACACAGAGTTTATCTGTGTAGCCCTGCTGTCCTGGAACTGACTCTAGACCGGGCTGGTCTCAAACTCAGAGACCCACCTGTCTCTTCCTCCAGAGTGCTGGGATTAAATATATGTGCTGCTGCCACCCAGTTTTTAAAAACATTTTTATTAGAGACATTTAGTAACATTTTTACTTTTTCTTTTAAGTGTAAAAGAATTGTTGCTAAGGAAAAAAAGTTTTTTGTTTTGTTTTTTTTGTTTTGTTTTTAAAATTTCCCCTAATTTCTTCAATAAATTCACTTGTCACTCAAAAGTATATTCAGGGACTGGGGAGGTAGCTCAATTATTATTATTATTATTATTATTATTATTATTATTATTATTATTATTTTTAATTGGAAGTTCATACAGTATATTCTGGTCACCACATACTTCACCCTTCTCCCAGATCCTCTCTTCCCTACACATCCAACTCCACACATTTTTTTCTTTTCTCTCTCTCTTTAGGAAAACCTCCCAGTAAATTAGAGAGATATAGCCAGCAATGGTGGTGCATACACTTTTGATCCCAACACTCAGTAGGCAGAGGCAGGCATATCTTTATGAGTTCAAGGCCAGTTTGGTTTACAGAGTTCCAGGACAGCTAAGGCTACACAGAGAAATCCTATCTTAAAACAAAACAAAAAACCAAACAAATAAATGAAATGAATAATAATAATAATATAAAGAAAAAAAGAGAAAGCACAAGAACTCATATATACACAGATATACAAAAAACAAAACCCATTAAAAACATAAAATTGGAAACCATAATTAATATACAAGCAAAAGGCCAGTAAGTTAAAAAAAAAAAAAAAAGCCAAACAAAGCAATATGAGACCCAAAAAAAAAAAAAAAATCTAGACAAACACCAACAAGTACATTTTGTGTTTGTTATCTTCTTAGCCTTGGTGCTTACTTTTTAAGTGTAGTTTTTATACCCAGTGAGACTTTATTGGGAGAAAACTAATTTTCCTTTGCAAGTGGTTGTCAGTTGGAGACAGCTTCTAGGTTAGGGATGGGACATCATGTCTACTTTCTCATCTCAGCGCTTGGACTCCATCTGTGCTGAACCTGTGTAGACCCTGTGTATGCTTCCATAGTCTTTGTGAGTTCATATGTTCATCAGCCCAGTTTTATCTGAAGACATGTTTCCTTGGTGCCCTCCATCCCCTCACAGTATTTTCACCTCCTCTTTTGCCTGACTCCCTGAGCCCTGAGGGGAGAGATGTGAAAGAAGACATCCCCCTTAAGACTAAGTGTTTCAAAGTGTCTCACTCTGCCCATTGTACAGTTATGGGTCTCTATGTTAGTTCCATCTACTGCAACAAGAGGAAGCTTCTCACATGATAGCTGAGCAAGACACTGTTTTGTAAATAAACCAGAAAATATCACCAGCAGTTATTTTGCTACTGTGCTCCTTTAGTAGAACAGTAGTATATGGTTTTCCCCTAGGTCCAAGGCCTATCTAGTCTTAGGTGTTTGGCCACGTGTCAGGCATGAGTTCTGTCTCATGGAGTAAGCCTTAAATCCAATCAAGTAATAGTTGTTTACTCCCACAGTATCTGTGTCATTGTTGTACTGGTGTATCATGCAGGCAGGCCACTGTTGTAAATTGTAGGGTTTGTAGCTGGATTGGTGGTCATGAGCTCTGTAAGTTTGTGCTTGTCTTAAAATATCCTTAATTGAGGATGGGAGATGGCCTAGTAGGTACAGTACTTCTCAGAACACATGTAAAAGCTGGATGTGTCTGTAATCCTAATACTCCTTTATCAGGAGATGGGAGACAGACATAGGAGAACTACAGGAAGTTGACAGACCATCTAGCCTGGTGTATGTCGTGCTGTACAAGGTAGACTGTGTCAAACTAGGTAGAAGGTGAGAACCAACACTTGAAGTTGTCTTTTGGCCTCCACATGTGCATCATGGCACATACACACCTCCCCTCATGTCCTTGAATCTATCTACATCAGTTTTTAAAGATTGCTTTGTTGGGTCTGGTAATTTTGTTTGGGTGTTATGCATTTTTGGAGTTTGAAATGTATCATTTTGTGCTTTCCTGGCTTTAAGGTTGCTGATGTTATGTGCATAGGTTGCCTTTGTAGGTCACTTGGTGTTTAGAGAAGTGTTGATTAAGCAAATCTAAATGGTTTGGAGAAATGCTGAGGGTAAAACATCATATGTTTTCTCACATTTTAACAGCAATGTCATTTTCCCCTTTCTAGACTGACAGATCCCATTCCCACCACAGAGACTTCAATCGCACCCCGCCAGAGGCCTAAGGCTGGGCAGACTCAGCCAAACCCAGGAATCCTTCCCATTCAGCCAGCCCTGACTCCTCGTAAGAGGGCCACTGTTCAGCCCCTACCTCAGGCTGCAGGTTAGTAACTGTTTGCAGCTTGTTCCAGTGCTTCTTGATGGTAGTGTTAGAAGGTACATCCTAGAGAATAGTGGGCCGAGTTGAGTTGCTGGTGGATATGTATTGTCAAGTGGCTACACAAGGAGGAACTTCTTTCTGTACTTGGGTAGGTCTTTCTCTAAGACCTCTGAAGCCTGTTGTCTGCATTTATTTTCTTACTGGACTTGGTTCCATCCACCCCATCCTATTTCTTTACTTTATATATTTAACCTTCCTTTAAAGAAACAAGGCTTACTTCTTTTGACAACTGTAAAAGAATAGTATTTCATTAATGCTACATTTATTAGAGTACTTCGTTATCCTCTGCCCTAGTATTCTGTTATATGAGAGGAGTGACCTTTGCTTCAAACGGGAATTGATCCCAAATAATTGACCACAACTATCATATCCTTTACCAGGAGCAATTTTTGATGAATTTGTTGGCCATCTATATACAGCCAAGTATTCAAATGCTAATTGTAAAAGCTATTCATAAAATATCAAAGAATGCTTTTGCTGTGTGTGTGCAAGCTGGTACAAAGACTATGTTTAGTGAATGGTCTGCTGTGTGTGTGTATAAGGGTGACTAAGAGTACTAACTACAGGACTAGTTGGCTAAATGGGATGATGGATATGGCAAATCCCTCTGAAGGAGGCAAGTATTGAATATTACAATTTTACTTGGGTTTGAAATATTGAAAGCACATGATTTAGCAAGAAATGGAAATGTATTCCAAATAGAACATCACAAATGACAAAATGGTGAGAAGTGGGCAAAGCTTGGAACAGTCTGCCTGCTTCTACCATTTCTCAAGTGGCAAATCAGAAAGCCATTTTTGTCTAGTAGAGTTTTGAACTCTTAACATGAACTTCATTTTTATTGCAGGGCCCAGCAATCAGCCTGGCCTTCTAGCTAGTGTTCCCCAACTTAAAGCCCAGCCTGCACCCAGTCAACCTCTTCAACAATCTCAGCCCAAGCAGCCACAAGCTCCAACCACCCCACAGCAGACACCTTCTACCCAGACCCAAGGTCTGCCTCCCCAGGCCCAGGCCACTCCCCAGCACCAGCAACAGCTCTTCCTTAAGCAGCAGCAGCCACAGCAGCAGCAGCCACAGCAGCAGCAGCCACAGCAGCAGCAGACAGTACCACAGCAGCCAGCAGGCACCTTTTACCATCAGCAGCAACAGCAGCAACAGGCTCAGACACAGCAGGTGAGGAGGTCTATATGACCCTTACTTTGCATAGTGGAATTGAAAGGCCTGCTAGGTACTGGCATCTTTATTGGAAAGTGCTAGGATGGCCAAGAGCCACTGACCAGTGCATCATCACTTCTCATAGATGTGGAAATTGAAGCATCAGGGTGCAGATTAATAACTCTCAGGAGTTTCAGTGTTGTCCTCAAGCTTTGGAGAGTTTACCCCAACTTAGCACCCTCAGTGATGAAACTGCTTTCTAAGAAGATTCAGTGGGAAAAATAACGATGATGTCCTAATTGCAAACAATATCCCATATGTCAAGCCTTTTCAGATATTTAAGTTTTCTTGGTTGGATCAGGATCCAGACAAGATCCATATATACTATTTAGTTAGAATATATTATTTTCCATTATTTTGTATGTATTTTTTCATTACAGTTTTTTAAACTTTGAACACCTTTATTTTATAATAACTTATTTCTTTTTTAAAAATATGTATGTGTCTGTATGTATGGGTGTATGCACATGTATATATTTGAGTGCATACACTTGTGAACACTCAGAGGCAAGAGGATCTATGGACCCCTTAGAGTTAGAATTATGGGCATTTGTGAATCACCTGGCTTGTTATATGGTGAATCCCAGCAAGTACTTTTAACCTCCGAGCCAACCCTCTGACGACAAAGAGAGGTTTATATATCTTTTACATTCTCTTTTACCTTTTTTGACATGTATTTTTTGAAAGAACTGGATTATTTGTTCTTTGAAGTTTTGCATATTTTAAACTTGGTTTTGTTACCCTTTGGTAGCATTTGGTATATTCTACCATCTACTATGTAAACTGTTAATTTTTAAAAATAAGTTAAACGCATTTCATTAATGTGTGTGTGTGTCTGTCTGTCTGTCTGTCTGTCTGTGTGTGAGCTTGTATACTATGGCATGCATGTGAAGGTCAAAGGGTAACTTTCAGGAGTCTGTTCTCTCTGTCTATCATTGGGTTCTATGGATAGAGCTCAGGTTGCCAGATGTGACTGCAAATGCACTTAGTTGCTGAGCTCTCTCAGCAGACCTAAATGGGGGATTTCTAGAGACATGCTCAGTATCAGTGCAGTTCTTTGTTCTTCTGTTGCATCTTGTTGGGTATCCAGTGCTGTCTCCTGACCATCAGTGTGCTTAGATGTTGCCTGTTTCAATTTTTTTTCCTTTGGCTTATTAACCATTGTTGATATTTCCCAAGTCCTTTAACATACTTTGGATGGCAAAATGGTGCTCTTACAAGTGGGTCCTAGATCTGAAACTCAGGCTTCTTGGCAGCAGGTGTCTTTGTCCACTGAGCCATCTTACCAGCCTCTAAGGAGTTAATTTTTATCAACTATGTAGTTACCCTGAGGTCCAGTTTATACAGAAAGGGCAAGAAACATGTAACATGTAAGGTTCTTTGTTTATCAGTGTTCATTTAGAGGCAACAGTGAGTATTTTGCTTTGTTCCATCATAAGTTCATGGATTTGTTTATGTCACCATTTTTAAACATGCTCAGATTGTTCAAGTCCCTTCCAATTGGCTTTTAGATCCTTTGTTTATGACTCCCAGTGGTCAGTGATTTTTTTTTTTTTTTTTTTTTTGAGGCCAGAGTGATGATTGTCCCAGGATCATTCTGCTTTCAACTTAGAGTTATCCATTTCTCTCAAGTTTTTAATGAGAATGATAATTAGAAATCCCAGTTGGCTATGGAAATGCTACTTGCTATTGGGTCATGTTGGTAATTGTTTCTAGGACTTTTTAGTAGATACTTAGAAATGTTTTTGTTTTATTAGAAAACTAAAATTATGAGTTCAGAATTATACATCTAATTCAGACATAATTAAAAGATTTTTGTTTAAGTTATTGGCTTTTGCTTACCATCTGAAGATCTTTTTGTTGCTGTTGGTTGTGAAACAAGAGCTCAATTGAGCTTGAGCTCTTGGTGGTCCTCCTGCCTCAGCTTTCTGAGTCCAAGGATTCCAAGCATGTACTACCATGCCTGGCAACCTTAGAAAACTAAGCACATTATTTTCTGTGGAGTAGCTGACAATTGGATATGCAGACAACTGAATTTATTTTGATTTTGCTTTCTACATTTTGGGTCAGTTTTGTTCTATATATGTGTAAAATAATTAAATGTTTTAAAGTTAGATCTACAAATTTTTGTCCTCTCATTCTTTCAAAGATATGCTCTTCATTGCTATTTTCTTCTTTAGAGTGCTCCTGTGCCCCCCTTAAAGACAGACCACAGGTGTTTGAATGCCCCTCCCCATGGGTGGGTTATTGGTTATTGCTCTAAACAGGCAGTTATACTCTTATATGTTGTTTTTATTGACCTTTTACACTAGTAGACACATGGTATCCAGGACTATCCCAATGAACTCACTAACAGTTTTGGGGATTTTTCCAAGACTTCACTTTTGTGTTGAAACTGAGGCTGGATCTATGCTCAGTTATGGAATGAACCTTGGCTGAACTCTGGCTTTCTCTTGGCTATACATTTAGAGCCTTCATTTATTCCACAAAGGTTTGATGATTTAGTAACTAGCTCTATTTAGCAAGATCAGCCTAGAATATAACCACAAGCCCCATCATCATAGTAACCTTTCTTGTTCTCATAACTCCTGATCTTTCCACCCATGTCAACATCCATTCTTTGTGATTTTCTATATTCTGTGTTCACCTGGTCCTCAACTATTCTTCTTACCTCCCCTGCCCCTTTCCTACATCTTTGCCCTGCCGACTATATAAGCTCCCGGTAGAAAAATAAAGTTTGCCACTTGATCAGAATCCTGTCTTGTGGTCAATTCCCCCGCGTCTCTTGACCCCCCATCCCATTCTTGGGTTTTTGGGTTCTAGGTTGAAGTCTTGTGGGTCGAGGCACTTTTGTGTTAGCAGACTCTTATTTTGAGCTTTGTTAGATACCATGTAGTTCAAAGCATTAGAGAGACATAAAAGAAGCACCAAGAAGATGGGAATGGGGTGCATTTTTAACTCCAGATACTTAGGAAGCTGAGGTAGCAGGATGGCTTGAACCCACAAGTCTTTGGAACAAGCCTTGGCAATGTAGTGAGACTCCACATAAAGCACATAGGGGAAGAGGATCTCTAGTGACAGGGTATTTGAGATTGCAGGATTCCGTAAAGGAAGAGCTGTTGGGAATAACTCTGGAAAGGTTTGGATAGGTGTTAGTCACTGGATAACATTTCAGCTGTTCTTTCAGCAACATCACTGAGACATTCTATTCATGCATGGAAGCATTTGTGTCTGTCCACTCCAGGCTTCAGAGTCACTTGAGTTAAATGTAAGCTTCCCTAGGACTGTGCCTGAGAAGTAGTCTGGTGCAATGGAAAGGATCTGGCAGTACAGATGTTGCTGGTATGATTCTAATGCCCTGGGTCCTGTCCTGAACTACTTAGCCCAGCTACCAGGCTTTTGCTGGGCCCTCCCTTTGGCTTTAGCATTGTCTTTATAGTTACTGAGACGTTTATCTTTTGTGAATGTGGCTTTGTGATAGGTTCATTTCTTGCCACTCTCCTGTGCAGTTTCAGGCAGGCCATCCAGCAGCCCAGCAGCCAGTCACTGCTCAGTTCCCTGTGGTGTCCCAGGGAGGCTCTCAGCAGCAGCTGATACAGAACTTCTATCAGCAGCAGCAACAGCAACAGCTGATGACTCAGCAGGCTGCCCTGCAGCAGAAGACTGCTGTGGTAGTACCACAGCCTCAGGCACAGCCAGCCACTGCCCCGGAGCCTGCGGTAAGAACCAGTGTGTGTGTGGGGGGGGGTGGGGGGGTTGGCTCAAGACTGAAGAGAGTGTGCAGTGAGGCTAAGGAAAGGGAAGAGGTAACAGAAGCTCTAGAGGACTCTGAGTTATGGTAACGATGTTCTCCTACCCTAGTTGTTAGAATATTTCATTTTTTCCCCTGACAGATCTGAGTGTATGCTATTCTATAGAAAGCAGAGATTGAAAGAATATTTCTAGTCTATTTACAGCCTTATTTTTCACACTGAAGTTATGCTGGTGGAAAAAGTGGTTCTAGGTCTCGGTCTGTGCTACTGCTAAACAGCCAGGGACTTGGGAGCTGATCTGGTCCCTGTTCCTTTTTCAGGGCCAATTTGATTTGTTGTGCCCATCCTTATTTCTGGAGGTTCAGGTGGTGTCAACTGTTGTAAAAGAAAGCATTTAATTAGGGCTTGCTTGCAGTTTTAGAGGTTTAGTCTATTATCACCATGGCGGAGAGCATGATTCCATGCAGGCATACATGGAAAAATAGCTGGGAAAATAAATCTGTATCTGCAGGCAACAGGAAGAGAGAGCCATTGAACCTGGCTTGAACTTTTGAAACCTCAAAGCCCACCCACAGTAACACAATTCCTCCAACAAGGTTGTACCTACTCTTAACAAGTTCATACCTCCTATTCCCACTCAAGTAGTGCCACTCCCTAATGATCAAGCATTGAAAATATGAGACCATTGGGAGCCATTCTTATTGAAACCAATACAGGTGGCCCCACATTTACCCTAAATTTTGACACCATATTGTTCGTTCTTTTGAGTTTGCCATGCAGTGACGTTCAAAGGCTGTTTACTCTGGACCATTTACCACAACATAACCCATTTTCAGAGTATCTTGAAACTGGAACCATTTTGTCAGTTTAGAGATTGAGTGTTGTCTTAGATATTGACTGAATGTGGTAGCAGACCCTATTATGACCAGCCTCTAGTTTCAGCAAACCTCAGAAATTCTTACCTGTTTTTTCATAAGTAACCTGTGGTCTTAGGATTTCTGTTGCTGTGAAGAGACACCATGACCATGGCAACTCTTATAAGGACAACATTTAATTGGGATGGCTTGCTTACAATTCAGAGGTTCAGTCTGTTATCATCATGATGTGGTGCTGGCTACATCTTGAACATAAGGCATCAGGAAGTCAACTGACAGTCACACTGAGGGAAGTTTGAACAAAAGAGACCTCAAAGCCTGCCCCAAAGTGACACACTTCCTCCAACAAGGTCACACCTCCTAATAATACCACCCCCTTTGGGGGCCATTTTCTTCCAATCCACCACACCTTTATTGTGTACTCAGTTTTCTGAATGAGAGTAATAATTTTGTTATCAAAAGACATTTTGACTACATAGCCAATAGTGTTTGTATATCTAGCTATTCTCATTCTCAAGGAGGTCCAACAACTAAACCAATGAAAAGATGTGATAAATCATCTTTCTGAGGATTCATTTCCTACAGAGAATTTGCTGCCCATCCTAAACCAGAACACTTGTATTCCTTGAAAAGGAAACAGTGCTGTAGGTAGATTGTGTTTTTCCATCTTTGTTGAGTGTGTGCTCAGTATCTTATCTGTTTGTTTCTGAAACAACTCAGTCTTCTACAAGAATATGGTAGACAGCAACTGTTTATACTTTTGACCTATAATAAACTGTTTCTGGATAATGGGAGAAGGTTCTAAAAATATTGCATGAAATAGCTAGAGGGAACTTTTAAGTATCTAGTTCAGTCTCTTCATTTTGTGCAATTAAAATCTGAGACCTAAACTAGAAAGTTGCTGCCTATACAGAAGGATTGTACTAGAGCTGGGCCAAGGACCAAGAACACTGACCTGCGTCATGTCTGGGGACAATAATAGCAGATGCTCCTCAAGGGTGGTAAGATGATCCATTGCTACTGAAGACACTTCTTAAGAGTTTCTTCTCTGCTTTTCCCAGACAAAGGGTCTACTGTCTTTGGAATGAACCCTCAGCCTTCTCATAGTGCTAGATGAGCCAGCACTGAGCTCTGTGCCCTAGGTGATGGGTATAGGGACACAAGGTGAAAGCCAACTGGATTCTGTGTTGGCATATTAAAAAATGCCCATGAGGTAGTGTTGACACTGCTTGCTGCTCTTGTAGAAGACTCATCTTCTGTTCCCTGCACCTATGTTAGGCAACTAACAGCTATATAAAACTAAAAGTATCCCATGCCTCTGGTCTCCTCAGGCACCTGAGGAGACAGACAGACAGACAGACACACACACACCTTTTAAAAAAAGAAGTCTTTGACAAAATAGATACCAGACTCCACTCTTTTTCTTTCTTCTATGGTGTACCCCTCCCTTTGAGACTGGGTCTCACTGTGTAGTCTAAGCTGGCTTGGAACTTGCTGTGTAGACCAGTATGGCCTTGAATCCATAGAGATCTGTCTGTCTCTGCTTCCCAAGCACAGATTAATGTCACTCACCAAGGTTTCTTGACTCACTGCCTTTTTCTAACTCTCTTTGGAGGAGGAGACAGTGTGATACAGAAGAGTCCCAGCCACAGTTAGGTTCTGGGACCAAATAAATGGTCTAGTGACCTTGGTTGACTTGTTAGCCTCAGTGGACTAAATATCCTCTTCTCTTGGAAATGAAGTTTCTGGCATTTGTTCTGTAAGGTCTGTTTCCACTTGTTTTCTTTGATTCTCAATGTTCTTAAACCTTCCCTGTGAATGGAGATACTATGTATTACAGATTGAGAGTTCCTTATCCAAAGTGCTTGAGACTGATAAGTACCCGAGAGTTTGGCATACTTAAATACATAAGGAGATATCTTGGAGATGAGATCCAGATCAATAGACAGAATTAAATTATTTCATAGGCACTTATGCAGTGAAATAATTGTATGTGTTTTTTTTGCCTTTTGGCTGTGACCGGCTACATGAAGTTTCCAATGTGGCATCATGTCAGGGCTCAAACGTGTTGGTTTTTGGAGGCTTAATGATTTCAGGTTTTCAGATTAGAGATGATCAACTCTTGCTGTCTTGGAGATGTGGCTCAGGGTCCATTGCTCATCTGTCAGGGGAGGAATCCTCCCACTAGAGGTGTCTTTTAGGTGTGCTGCATCTGAAGGATAAGTAAGAAAAGAGACAGTGTTCTCTCAATAGTGGGGATGCTTCTTCAGAGTCCATCGTAACTGTGGAGTACCCTTTCCAGTGAGATAAGCCTGTCCACTTCTGACCCATGTGGATACTGGCATTCAGAAGGCCCCAAAGGAAGATGCAATGCCAGTACTCTGACCTTCACAGAGCTCTCTGCTTCCTGGTGGGCTGTCACCCTTCCTGGCTTAGTTTGGTTGACAGCTATGCTGTCATTCATCTTGTTGGTGTGGTGGTTGACATACAGACACAGGTAGTTAGTGTGCCTCAAAAAACATTCCAACTCCTAAGGACAACATGAGGATACTCTTCTCTGCTGTAGCATCCTGACCTACTGAGCTTTATGTTCTGGTCTTAAATTCTTCTGTCTTCAGAGACAAAACATAGGAACTGAGCTTCAGTGTGGAGAGGTAGCTCTCACTTGAGTGGAGTGATTGGAGGGAAGGGATAGTTAAGTCCTGAGGCACTCAGTATCCAGGTTTATTTCTGAATGCTTTTACAATTGTTTCGCTTAATACAGGTGGCTTGTGCTAAAGATCATAAATATATTCCTACTTGCTTTTGTTCTGTGAACCACTTCTCAAGTGTCCTTCTATTAGCCTAATCACAATTACTGCTTTTCTTCTGTCTCATGTATTTTCCACTGATCTTCAGTGCCATTTCTCAAGGAAGATTGGAGCAAGTAAATCCCACTAAGCCAGTCTTGCACTTTTGCTGTGGGGTTGAAATAGAACTGTTCCCATCAGTGAAATGAAGGCCTTTAACAACACAAAACAAGGGTTACCATGTTTCAGTCACCCTGAGATTGTCTGATTCACTCCACTTAGTGTAGGAGGGAATCTACAACCCTCTGGAGAAACTGTCATGCTCCAAATCAATTGGCTGGAGTATATCTTCTCTTCTAGGTGTAATAGAAGGTGGAATCTATTTCCTTTCTTGTGGAACCATTCCTGGTGAGGTGTGGTTTGTCCTCAGACCTTCTAGGTCTTTAGCCTAGGAATAGCTTCTATAGTTTAGGCTGGTAGCTCTATTACATCTGGTTGACTTGTACATTGAAGCTAATGGAAGCTGAATTTGTATAAGAACCAGGCAGTTCCTTGGTGATGTCAACCACCAGTGCAGCTCAGATGGTGGGTGTCCTGGTTTTCTTTCTGGTGCTGTTGATAACCTTAGCCATTCAAATCTTTTATGAGCAAATGAGGTGTTATTATACTTGGTTGTTGATTTGTTTTTCTTTTCTGTTTCCTCCTCTTTTTTGTTTATAATGAAGGTTTACACTTCTCTCTCCCTAGCAGATCCAAGCTCCAGCAAGACAACAGCCAAAGGTTCAGACAACTCCACCTCCAACCATCCAGGGTCAGAAAGGTGGATCTCTCACTCCTCCATCATCCCCCAAAACCCAACGTTCTGGGCACAGGAGGATTCTCAGTGATGTAACACACAGTGCAGTCTTTGGGGTTCCTGCCAGCAAATCAACCCAGCTGCTCCAGGCAGCTGCAGCTGAGGCCAGCCTCAATAAATCTAAGTATGTTTGTTCTTAACATGTGGGCAAGGTCTGCTCTGGGTCACTGCTGTATGATTCTTTGCATACATTTGTGGAGGTATGGTAGTATGCTTGTGCCAGTGCGTGTCTGTATTTAGTAAAATACCACAAACTTGCCCACAGTGTGGGCACTGTACAGATCCTGTCTCTCAGTTTCCATTCTCCCATCTGTTCTATGCTCTAGAGTGTTTCCTAAACCTGTTGACCAAGTCTCCTTGTACTGGCAACTACTCATTGGACCCCAAACACTTGCAGGGTGGCTACCTCAGGGGTGGTACTGTCTACACAGTGACTTGACTCATTTTTGGAGCTGCTGCTTCCCTCCTCCCACAGAGGATATGCTTTCACTCTTTGGCTCCATGTTAGGCTTTGTTATTTCCTCTCATGCAGTATTTTGTCTAGGAACACGGGATTTAGTGTGTTTGGCCAAATCTGGCTTGTGAGTTCCAAAGACAGATACTTGGCCAACCTTCATGAAGATGGTAGGGTTGCTGGTTCTGTGCTTCGCATAAAGTCAGTCTTGGTGACCATTGTTTAAATCAGTGTAATTTTAGACCTTTAGCTTCCTTGAAGCCACGCACTCTAAATTCATACAAAGGTAGTGGTAATTATTTATTTTTCTTTGTCATAGAATAACTCTGCCATTAAACACCATTCCAAACATGTGATGACATCTTAGTACTGTTACATTCTAGACCCTGAAAGGTCAGCAGCTGCCAAGATAGGCCTGGGATTCAGCCCCAGCAGGGGTTGCTTGTGCTGCATCCATGGACTTCAGCATAGGTTGCTGTGGATCCTAAACTAACCTGAGGCTCTTGGAAGAGGACAGGCAAGGGGCAGGATTTCGAGAGAGCTTAAGTGAAGGAGACAGCATTTGTAAAGACTAAACTTTTCAGTTTCTATGGGAAGTCCTTTAGGAAAACACTTTGGAAAATGGTGGTTTGATTGAGAAAAGAATGGGGCCCTTCTGTATTTTTATAGTTTCTCTTCCCTTACCCTTGGGGGAAACTTTCCCAGGTCTGCAACCACCACTCCCTCAGGCTCTCCACGGACCTCGCAGCAGAATGTCTCCAGTGTTTCAGAAGGTTCAACATGGAACCCTTTTGATGATGACAACTTCTCCAAACTCACAGCTGAAGAGCTGCTGAACAAGGACTTTGCCAAGCTTGGGGAAGGTGAGCAAGCTGAGTATTTTCTGTCCTTCTTGGCTCTAAGTCAGCTGAAAATAAACTTGAGTGTATCTGTGTCTTAGCTGTAGAGGGATATGCTTGGGAAAGGTTAGCTTGGACCTGTCTTGAAAAGGACAGATTGGTGTTAGGGTTTGCAGACTGACTTCCATCTTCATGTTTTCCAGAGCACTAATTCTTTTTTTTTTTTTTTTTTTTAATGCTGATCAACTGTGAGAGGCAGAAGGGACTGCGTAAACATAGAGGAGAAACTTAGAAAAGATTTAGTGGCATAAACTGGGAAAATCATATGAAGCTGAGTGATTGCTTGGAAAAGTCCCACTCTTCCTCATTGGCTTGCCCTAGAAAGAGTAGCTTAAGATGTGCCTCACAGGATGCTGGGTCCTGATCACAGTCTGTGTTGTTGACTGACCATAGAAAGGAGATTCTTTAAATATAAGACACAGCTCTATCCAGAATACCCATAGCCAGACACAGGCACATCAACACAGATCCAGACAAACATACACATACCACACCTGGGACACCTGGGAAATCTCTCCAGTGTTGAGTTGGAGAAAAACACAGAGCAAAAGAATTAGCAGAGCCATTGAATGTTATGAACTGGTTTCGTGTACAACAATGTTTTAAAAACATACTTTCTACCATTTTATTTTATTTCTCCCTATGTAGCCTGGCTGATCTGGGACTCCCTATGTAGACCAGAATGGTCTTAAATTCACAGAGATCTACTTGCCCTTTTGCCTTTTGAATGCTGGGATTAAAATTGTGGACCACAATGCCTGGCTGGTTCAGCCTTTTAAATAGAAGACAGGGTGTAGGGTTTGACTTTCTTTGACAAGTCCTTTTCATTGTTTTCTCTGCCACTTCTTATTCTGTGCTGTAAACAGAAATCTTTTCCTGCATTGTTGAAAATTTTTATGTATGAGTCTAGTTAATGAGCTGTTGGGTTCTTTTTTAAAACTTTATTTTTAAGTGTGTGTGTGTGTGTGTGTGTCTGTGTCTGTCCATGTGTCCATATGTAGCTATGTGCATCTGAGTGCAGGCCCTTAGAAGCCAGATACATCAGGTCCCCTGGCGCTGGAGTTACAGACAGTTGTGAGCTGCCTGATAATAGGTACTGGGAATTGAACTTTGGTACTCTGGAAGCACAAAAGTATGGACTGAATTGATGAACCCTTTCATCTCTCTGGCCCTGTCCCAGGGGAGTTTTCTTGTTTTATTTTGATTTTTTTAAAATTCTTTTGTCTCTTTTTAATTTTTGGTCTGTATTGCTGTGGTTGGACCATCAGCTTTCACGTAGTCCTGCTGTTGTACTTGTCCTTCATAGCATCTCACCAGTTCCTTCACTGCCACTCCATGTCAGTTCTCAAGCTGCTTGCAGCTTGGAAAATGGCCTTTGAGCATCGGCACAGACAAGGAATTTTTGGTAATAAAGATGTTGCCATAAATGTGGTAAGAAGAGTCAAACCAGAGAGTGTTCTTCACCTTACCATGTGTCTGTGCACCCAGGATTCTGCAAGGATGAACCAAGTGGTATTTTTGTCCCTCTAGGAAAGCTTCCTGAGAAGCTTGGTGGCTCAGCAGAGAGTTTGATCCCAGGCTTCCAGTCAACGCAAGGGGATGCTTTTGCCACATCCTCATTTTCTGCTGGAACTGGTGAGTGTGACACATGCCTGAAACATGAGGCTCACTGTTGTTACCTTCAGGTTTCCACTGTGTGGATAGCTCTAGCATACAAAGAACCCAATTCCTGGTAGTAACTCATTACTTTCCTTCATTCAGTAGTTGTCCAGTCAAAAAATATTTAAGAACCATCTAAAATCACTTCGAACTCAAGCGGTGGAATGTTCTGGCGAATATAAAGGAGTCGATTTCCCTAGTTTGGGATGTGTGTTATGCAGATATTTCTAATTTAACAACCAGTACTCTGGCAAGGTTTTGTTATTTCTTGGGGCCTTTGGGGTGACTTGAAGTATTCTAAGAATTAGAAACTGTCTTACACTTGATATTTTACTAGTCTATTTAAATATGTATACATGCATTTTTAAAAATCAAAGCATTGAGACTTGTTTTCTCCATTATTAGTATAAAAGTTATAGATGTGTATAGAAACAATCCAGATCACCTATGATCTTATCACCTAGACATAGCATAGTGACTTCATCTTGATGTATGTCTTAGTCACTGTTCTATGGCTGTGAAGAGACATCATGACCAAGACAACTCTTATTAAAAAAAAGTCATTTGATTGGAGACTTGCTTACAGTTTTATAGGGTTAGTCCATGATCATCATGGTGGGAAGCAGACAGGCATGTTTCTGAAGCAGTAGCTGAATGTTTTACATCCTAATCTGCAAACAGCTGGCAGAGAAACACAGGGACTGGTATGGCTTTTGAAACTTCTGAGTCCACCATCAGTGACACAACTTCTCCAAAAAGGCTGCCCTTCCTAACCCTTCCCAAACAATTTCACCAACTGGGGACTAAGCCATTCAAATATATATGCCTGTGGGGGCTATTCTCATTCAAACCACCACAATGTACAGTCTGCATTTAACATTTTTAGTGTCACAAACATCATCATCTAATGAAATTTATAGATCTTCCTCACCAAAATACATGTGATCACAATTTTCAACAATTTCAGGTTTTAGTTTAAGATTGTGATGCTGTGATGTCCATCTGTATATTTTAAAACCTGTTTCTCTCAGTAAGTCTAGCATGGGCTAGAGAGGTGGCTCAGTGGATAAAGGCACTTAGTACCGAGACTAACCACCTGAGTTTGAGCCTCACAGCCCACATAGTGGTAGGACCCACATGGTGGTAGGTGCCTCCTAAGCTCCTGCACCCTTGATACACTTTCTGTACTGAGTGGTTTTGTGTATCAACTTAACACAGACTAGCAAGTCATCAAAGGAAGGAACCTCAGCTAAGGAAATGCCTCAATGAGATCCAGCTGTAAGGCATTTTCTCATTTAGTGATCAGTGGTCAGTGGGGGAGGGCCCAACCCATTTTGGGTGGTGCCATTCCTGGGCTGTTGGTTCTGGGTTATAAAGGAAGATGGTCAGCAAGCCATGAAAGCAAGCCAGTAAACAGCTCCCCTCCATGGCCTCTGCATCAGCTCCTGCATCCAGGATTATGCTCTATTTTGAATTCCTGGTGATGAACAGCAATGCTGAAGTGTAAGCCAAATATCCCTTTCCTTTTCAACTTACACTTTGTCATGGTGTTTCATCACAGCAAAAGAAACCCTAACTAAGACACTTTCCTATGCTGGTCTACCTGGGTGAGGCTACCACTGTAGCTCCCTGTACTTTCTGTCACCTCAGGACCTTCATACCCTAGTCTCTCCTTGCTGCCACTGACTGCTATAGATCTAGCTTGCCTAGGGTGGGCCCCTGCTAGCCCAAGGAAGGGCCAAATATGCCCTTGCTCTCACATCTTTAGAGTCTGGATTCTTTCATTTTGGGGGTCTCTGCAGTGGAAGTAGTACCAGTTGTGAGTGTGAGTGAAGCAGCCAGGTCCCAGGATGTTACTAGTTCATTCAAGGATGTCATGCCTTCTTTGCCTTTCACATTATCATATGTCACAAACTATACTTTGTTGACGCCGAGGAACTACCATTGGATAGGACATACATGTGGCTGCTGTGGCAGTGGTGGAATCATCAAAAGAACATAGAATCATAGAAAATAGGGAGAGGGCAAAAAAAAAAAAAAAAAAAAAAAACTGGGAGTCAAACCCTACCACTGTGTACTCATACCACAATAAATAAAAGAAAAATATGTAAAGGGATATAGTTAAGGGGACTTGCTACCAAATGTAATTACCTGAATTTGTTCCCTAGAAAACACATGATGGTAGGAGAGAAGCAACTGCTGCAAGTGCACTGACCTCCACATGCATGCATGTACATGTACACACACAAAATAAGTCAAAGTTAAAATTAAAAAGAAGCACACCCATTTCACAGCTGCTGCAGCATCTTATAGGGAGGCTAATGTTCTGCTCACTCTCCCTTTCACTCAGTCCAGGGCTGGGCTAAAGAAGTGGTGCCACTCTCAGTCAAGGGAGGTCTTCCCTCCTCAATTATACAGTCGAGATATTTCTCCATAGTCAGTCTCTGATGCCCATCTTCCAGGTGATTCTAGGTTATGTAAGTTGACAGTTAGCTCTCCCATTGCAGAACTTTGAAGGACATCTTAAATGCAAACTGTAGCAGGGTGCAAGGGAAAACCGAATAGTTCAGGTCATAGTGTTGTGTGGGTGGTGCTGTGCTGCTGTTACAGAAAGTGTGCTTGTTGTAGGAGCTGGGTACAGGGCTCACTATATACATTGACCAGGCTGGCCTCAAACTCATGATCTTTCTGCCTCAGTTTCTGGAATGCTAAGACAACAGTGTACATCACCATACCTGACTTTCAGATTGAGACTTTAATAACAACCAAACTGAGTACTAAAATGAGAAAAAAGGCAAGTTCAAACACATACCTATCCTGCTGCATCTACCTCAGTGCATCTCATGGTGTGTTACAGGACCCCTTGGTGTGTCTTGCTATTAGTTGGGTTATTTCCATTCACCCCCTCCTTTCTGTCTAAATTTGGATTTTCTCTGTTATTTGTCTCTTTTATGAATAGATGGTAAATGCATCGATATTTACTTGATATTGTCTGTTTTTCTCATTTTTCTTTCCTGATCTTTCCTCTCCACCTAACTGCAGCTGAAAAAAGGAAGGGTGGGCAGGCTGTGGACTCTGGCATCCCACTTCTAAGTGTGTCTGATCCTTTCATTCCTCTTCAAGTACCTGATGCTCCAGGTAGGTATATAGGACTCATTTTAGGGTTAGCATCTTGAGTCTTCTATTCCAGGGCCTCCAGGGCCTCTGGAGAGATTTGCTTTAAGCTCTTGATGGCAAGGACCTGAATTCTAAATCCCAATATTTGGATGCTGCTGTATATTTTAAATTTTTTAGTGAGATAGACAAACTTGGGGCTGGAGTAATGGCTCAGTGGTTAAGAGCACGACTGCTCTGCCAGAGGTCACGAGTTCTGTCCTCAGCACCCACATGGCAGCTAAAAACTGTCTGTAACTCTAAGATCTGACACTCTCACACAGACATACATGCCAGCAAAAACAGCAATGCACATAAAATAAAGATAAATAAATCATTTTTTTTTTAAAACGATAGACAAACTTATTTTGGAGAATACTAACTCTTACAAAGAGAATAAAATATCACTTCAGGTTATACCACTTGTAATTTGAATCATATCAGTGTTCTTTTTTACCATGCTTAATAAAATTATTGTTAGTATATTTTGGGGAAGTGTGGTCGAGGTTTTCATTGAACCCAAGCTGGTCTCTACCTTGCTGTTTAGTTAAGGATGACCTTTAACTATTGATCTTCTTGCTTTTACCTGCAAAGTACCCAGATTACAGACATATACCTCCACATCTGGTTTGTGTTTATTATAATTTTGGAGGCCTATGTTTGGAAAGAACATTAGTCCAATGTTATTTAAGTACAGTAATAGAAGTCATTAGTATATGATAAAAAGTAGGTGTACATAATTGTCAGGTGTGATGGTAGAGCTGTGGATGACCCATCTGGTTCCTATTTGTACTTTATTACTTTATAATACAATAATACATGATGAAAGTTGATATGGAATATGACTCAGGAGACCTAGGGTCCCTACCAGGTTATGCCATTACCTGAACCCTCTGGGCCAGACTCCTCATCAGTGAAGAATGTGACTGCTGGAGTTCCATTATCTTCCCCTATTATTGATTCTTAGGAAGCAGCTAGAAAGTGAAGCTGGTTATTTCCCACTGGGGTGACTTTTAAAATGATGAGTGGACTTGGTGGATGCTAAAGGCTGCTTCCTGTTCCCTCCCCCCCCCCCATATTCTTTTCAGGAGACAGGAGAACTGTAGTTGGTGTGAGGTCTCCTTTTGTGGGAAAGCAGCCAAATCTGGCTCCTTAGCAGCATCTGACAGCTGTTTTGCTTCATTCTCCCTTTTCCCCAGTCCTTAGATCTTCCAAGGCTTGACCTTCATCTGACAGAATATGCTTAGTTTCTTTTCTTCCAGGGTTCAAAGATCTTTGATTGGCCACCTCAGGACTGAGAGGGAAGGACTGGAAAGATGGCTCTGTAGCTAAGTGTGATGATATATTATTTATTATTTATTAAAACTTGCCTGAGGATTCAGAAAGCAAAGTCAGCCTCAAGCTATAGAGATCAATCAGTGGTGGTACACACCTTTAATCCCAGCAGCCAGAAACTAGGAGGTGGTGGCACACACATTTAATTCTAGGACTCAGGATTAAGAGGTATGGATCTCTGTTAAGTCCAATGCCACCCAGATCTACACAAGATTGATCCAGTCCTAAAGAGAAACAACTCACACAAAGATGACCTCAGCACCTGGGATTACACACCTTTAATCCAGCACTAGAGGGGTACAAAAGTCAGGAGCAGGGTCTTGAGTAGTCAGTATCAGAGATTCATTCCCCAGCCACATTGAGGATAGAAAGACACTGAAGTCTCAGGATTCTCCAGCCATGCTGAAGAGAGGTCACAGTCTGAGGTTTGGTAGAGCTAGGATTGCCTTTCATTCTGAGGTAGAGTAAGAGCTAGTGACCATCTGCTTTGCTATTCTGATCTTCAGCTTGAAGCTTGAACCCTAAAGCAGTCTCTGGGTCTTTTATTTATTGAGCTACATCTGGCACCCAACATGACATACTTCCTTCAAAAATGTTATACCTATTCCAACAGAGCCACTCCCAATGCGCCTATGGGGCAATTTTCATTCAAACTACCACACCAAGTAAGCTGTGATCTCTCTTGGTTTTTCGTGGAAATGTATACGAGACATTTTAGTAGAGAATTTCAGTGAATTCCTGCATCACTGAATACAAAATCCAGACTTATGTCTTGTCTTTCTTTCAACAAGTTAAATTAATTTCCATCTTGGAGCCTTAGCACTTGCCAGTATTCTGTTAGCACCTGGAAAGCTTCTCCTTCAGCTCCATTCCTGTATCTGAGCTTCTATGCCATTTTTTCAGAGAGAGCCTCTGTGGTCTTACAGGCACTCCCAATCATACCTTGTGGCTTTTCCTTCATGACACTTGTTAGAATGGTTGGCTCTCTTTGTTCCTGTTTGCTTTAGCACTTCATTGTCAGTGGCAGGGCCACTGTCTTGCATAGTGGCACTCTGAATATTTGGCAGGTCAGATGGATAGATGAAATGAACTCGAGGTTGTTAGCCTCCATTCCTGTTCCCACCTCCTAGACTCTAGGTTGATGTTCACAGCCTGCACCAGCCCCCAGCCACCACCCCCCTACCCTCACCCCCACTCCCAACCCCGTGCCTGTGAGAACCAAAACATGACCATCCACCCATGCTGAGAGTGAATAAAGAAGGCACAGCTCATGGTACCAACAAGTTGCCATACTCTGGTGAAAGAAATGATAAGGCTCAGTAGACTCCCAGCATCCTTCATGTCCTCCAGTATGTCAGGGAGCTAAGAGCTCAAGTTCAGGTTCTGGCACCTGAACATACTGCATGTGCTCATTGTTGGCCACACCTCCAACCCCCTTTCTTCTCCTGATAGTTGTCCCCATGGTAAGAATCTAGGAGTGAAAAAGCCATGCCTTTTGAGTGTCTTTTCTTCTAAAAGGTTTCAACCTGTAGTCTATAATCCTCCTTGATCTTAAAGGTCTCCTGAGTGGTGGGTGGTAGTGATGTCAAGTCCTAACCTGTGAGCCAGCAAGTGAGACTTTCCTCTTCCTTGCCAAATCCCCCAAGTTGTAGACATTGCTTTTATCCTTGGATTTTGTAACTTGAAATCAGTAAAGCCTTTGACTGAGGATGACTGAAGATGTCAGTTAGGGGGTATAATAATAGATTTGAGCTTAAAAGGCCGGGTTATCACTATGGACATGTAGTACTAAATGACCGTTATCTGATTACTTGAATCAGAATTCACATCCTGGAAACTTGAAATAGTAACATTTTCCTTTGGAAATAGGAAGGAGTGTCTATTGAAACTATATTTGGCTGTGTAACTTTACCTGACTATAAAGACAACATGCTGTTCTGACCTCAATTCTTAGGTTTGTATTTTCAACTGGGAAAGCTTAGTTATGAAGTCATATTTTTCTCTTGCTTACTTGCTTTTGTAACCTCTAACTTTCACTCAACCAAGAAATAGACTGAAATAGACTTACTGGTTATGAATTACCAGACTCTGGGTGAAAGGACATTAGAGAATTGTAGTTTGCTTGTAGGACTTCCCCCCCTCCAAAAAACGATACCATGACCACAGAAACTCTATTAAGGAAAACACTTAACTATGAGTAGCTCACTTACAGTCTCTCCTGTGCTGCTTTTTAAAATTACAGCAGCCCTTGCTGTCCTAGAACTCATTCTGTAGACCAGAAATCTGCCTGCCTTTGCCTCCCAAATGCTTGGATTAAAGGTGTGTGCCACCACTGCCCAGCTAATTCCTTCATTTTGAAGGTTAGTATTCCACTGTGTGGTAGCCCACATGCTGCTTGTCCGGTTTCCCTTTGATGGGCATTTGGGATGCTTCCTTCTGTGAATGCTGCTGCTGTGAACACAGTGCAGGCATCTCTTTGTGACCATGCTTTCTTCTTTTGCCAGGTCGTATGGTATTCTATTTTAAGTTGTGAGAAACCATCACCCTGTCTTTCAGAGAGACTGTGCCTTTTCTTTTACATACTTCCTGCAGTACATAAAGGTTTGAGGAAACAATTCTGACAGTACCTCTTCAGCTCTGATCTCTTGATTCCACAGCTCTGTACGACTAAAAGAGCACATATTAGCTGCCCTACAAGTGCTACTTCATGGAGTTGGAGGGCTTTTGAAAGCCATTCTTGGTTGTATGACCCTCCTTTATCTCTTGAAAAAGACAGGCAAGAGGAGCTGTGTGTCATATTGAGCAGTCCTCTCCCCTTTTGGCTTGATATCATTTCATTTCCAACTCCTGCCTTGTGATATTGAAAAGCTCAAGGTCATTCATTGTAAGTGCCTTATTTTCGAAACTGTCTTCCTATAGCTATAACCTCTAAAGTGGAATGAGAATGGGGCATGGTGCCTGCTCTGGTTCTGACTTGATGATGCTCCAGGCAGTTTACTGTCTGTCTCTTAGGAACTACTTAGAGTGACTAGATTTTACTTCTTATTTTTATTTTAGGGCTTTTTGTTTGTTTGTTTGTTTTTGAGACCAATTTTTGTAACCCAAGCTGGCCTTGAATTTTTGAGCCTATTGCCTCTACTTCCCAAGTGCTAAGCCTAATGGCATGTATCACAATGCCTAGCTCTATTTTTAGTCTTAATTAGTGAATAGTATTCACGTTTATCAACTGAGTTCAGCATGACATTTTAGTTCATTATACAGTGTATAATGTTGCATCAGAGTAATTGGTGTTTCTTTCATTCCATAAAGTGACTAAAATTTAAAAACAGTATTTCGCATTATAAGTCTTACAGGGTTTGTTTGCTCTATGTCGAACAAGTCACACATTTCAAAAGCCACAAAACTGTATTAATTACTTTATTGTTGCTGTGATAAAACATCATGACCAAGGCAAGGCAGAGAAGAAAGCTTGTTTTGGGCTTACAGTTCCAGAGGGTTAGAGTCCATCACTATTAAGGCAGGGAAACATGGTAGCAAGCAGACATGGCAACTGGAACTAGACTCTGAGAGCTCGGGACTCACATCTTAAACTATAGATGGGAAGCACATCTCGAAGACCATGCCGATCCCAGTAACATACTTCCTCCAGCAAGGCCAACCCTCCCCCCCCCAAACATGCCCAAACACCTACCAATTGGGGACCATGGAGGACATCTTGATCAAACCACTCACTATAGCAGCCAGTCGGTTTTGTTTTGTTTTGTTTTTTAACTGGGATTCATAATAAACTGTCTTTTGAGCATGTTTGGTAGACTGGTATGTTCTAATCTTCGGGTTTATATTGAAACAGTCAGAGTCTTCATATGACAGAGTCTCACATGTAGTCCTGTCTGGCCTGGAGCTCTTGAAAAACACACTGGCCTTAAATTGGCTCCTCTGCCTCCCAACTGCTAGCTAGGATCATGGGTGTGACTACCACACCAACTGTCTTAGGGTCTCTACTGCTGTGAAGAGACACCATGACCTCAGCAACTTGTATATAGAAAAACATTCAACTGAGGCTAGCTTACAGTTTCAAAGGTTTAGTTCATTTTCATCGTGATGAGAAGCATGGCAGCATGCAGCAGACATGGTGCTGGGAAGGCAGCTGAGAGTTCTACATCTTGATCCCCAGGCAGCAGCAGGAGTCTTTGTACCACACTAGCATAGCTTGATTGTAAGAGACCTCAAAGTCTACGCCCAGAGTGTCAACAAGGGCACATCTACTCCAACAAAGTCACACCTCCCTATGAGGGCCATTTTCTTTCAAACTACCACAAAGCTTTCTTTTTTCTTTTTTTTAAAGGAAAAAGTAACCCATCATAAAATATTCCAGCCTAATGTCAGAGAGCCATTTTGATTATGTAACTTAGACTGTTTGTGAAGGGCTTATAATCTCCTTGTGTTGTGAGGGTACCCAGTGCCTTCCTAATAGTGAGAGTCCTGAAGAGGTGCACCAGCCCTATGTTCACACTGCCCACCTGTGCAGAAGGTCTGCTTTAATACATGGTGTTGTTCTCCCCTCTGACTCCCAACATTTCTAGCATCTGAGTGCTCCCACACAGCAATGACCACGACAATTATCTGTGTTTATAGCCTGCATTTTCAGGTTTGGTCAGAAAACAAAGACTCCTGAAAATTAGTAGTTTATCCCATCTTACCCGTTTTTATTTCATCAAAAAACCCAAATAAATATGTTTTTGTTGTTTGTTTTTCAAGACAGGATTTCTCTGTGAGGCCCAGTCTGTCTTGGAACTCACTCTGTAGACCAGGCTAGCCTCAAACTCAGAGATCTGCCTACTTCTGCTTCTAACTCCTGAGTGCTGGTATTAAAGATGTGCGCCCCCACTGCAGTCAAACACATACACCTTCGTTTTGGTGTTTAGGTGCTTAGGTGGAAATCAGAGGACAACTTAAGGAAGTGCTTTTCTCTCTATCCACCATGTGGTTTGTCATCAGAGACCAGATGCCTGCAGAGCCATCTCTCCAGTTCAAATAAAACGGAAGGGTTTTTTAATCCTCAGGGTGCATACCCATACATCAATAATTTTTTTATATCAGAAAGCTGAGGGCAGAAATGGATACAAAGAATTAATCATCACCTTTGATCACCAATCCATCCTAGGAAGAAAGGCACATCAGCTAATAATAATAATAACAGGGCTGTCTTTGTTCTTATTTCTTAACCTCAACAGGTCTCTCATTCATCTATGTGCCTTTCTAAACTTTAAATTGTTCCCCAAGATTTTCTATCTCAAAGCCATTAGCAAAAATATCTTAACCTAACCTTAAGTCATTATTTAAAGCTTTGTTTTTAGCTATGATGCACACTGAAACCTGTGAACACATCTCCCAGTGTTGAGATTAAAAGAATTTGAGCTAGTCTGGCTTCTAGGACACAATTGTTTTTCTTAATCATTAACCTAAGTAAGCCCCAGTTTATATAGCTTCTCAAGAGAAACTTAATTCCTAGCTGCATGACACTTTCTTGTTCTTATTGTCTACGCTCTATAGCCCCTGCTTTATCAGAGGTGGGATCAACACTATATTCTACCTTTACCTATATTAAATTTTCCTCTAGCCTTTATCATAATCCATTACTGTATTTACTAAAAATCTTTAATCATCAAATTTCTATTTTAAATAACATTATTATTGTATAAAATCATTACTTTGTTAAACAATACAGCTTAAGAGGAAATCATCTTCATAATCCACAGGTAAAAATGCCCAGGAGAACAGGATATTTCCATGAGATAATCACACTGCATTATAGGCAGTGGGGATCTCCCCACATCCATTCACACCATGCCAGACACCAGAGGGCAATGGCAATGGCAAACATGCAAAGGCACAGCAGTAGCAAGAGACATCCTGGAGCTAAAATCATCAGGGCCTTTCCTATCTGAGATTCACCCACCAGTGCCTGGTGTTTTGGTGGATTGATCTCCTGAAATCAGTTGCCACCTTCTGCTCCTCTGTGACAGCCACTAGCAGAGTCTCTCCTTTTTTTGAGACAGATTTTCTCTGTGTAGCCCTAGCTGTCCTGGAACTTCCTTTGTAGACCAAGTTGGCCTTGAATTCACAGAGATCCACCTGTCTCTTCTTCCTAAATATTGGGACTAAAGGAATGCTCCACCACTGCCCAGCTTGAGATTCTTTCTTTAAAAAACAAAGAAACAAACAAACAAAACTAACTAAACAACAAGGGCAAAAAATAAAGTGGAAAATCTGGAGGTTGGAATTTAGCTTACTTGGTAGAGTGCTTACCTAGCAAGTTTGAGGTTCTGGGTTCAGTCTTAGCACCGTGTAGTGCCTATAATCCTAGCACTAAGGAGGTAGAGGCAGGAGGATTAGAAGTTCAGTGTCATCATTGGCTACATAACAAGTTTAAGACCAGCACAGGCTATAAGTGACCATGCATTAAAAAAAAAAAAAAAAGTGGGGGAAAGGAGGAAATCTCGAAATGGAAAAACTATATGTACAGAGAGGCCTGTTGTTGCCAGTGCCTGTAGTGAAAAGAGCGTTTACTGTAGGGTACAGATGTCTGAAAGGGTTGGAAATGGTCTGTATCATTACTTCAGTGATGATTACATGAATGTATACATTTGCCAACATTCACCATGTTGTACACATTTAAAATTGGTGATGGTTGTTATATCATCAATCAATAAACAGACCCAAGGGCCTCCCTCACCTTGGTGAACTTTGAGTTCTACTTCACCTGGGGAAATAGCCTTTTAACCTCAATTGGAAAGTATTGTGGGGGGATTTTTAAAATTCCATTTATTTATGTACTTATTTGTGTTGTATGTATGTGAATGCATGTGTGGAAGTCAGAGGGTTACTTGTAGGAGTCTGTTCTCTCCTTCAGTGGGTAGGTCCTTGGAACTGAACTCAGTTTTCATGTGTAGTGGTAAACACTTTTACCCACCCAACCATCTTGCTGGCTCTGTTGAGTTTAGTGTTAACAAGATACTATTGGTCTGTGTTTTTATGGTGCCTCTTTAAAGTGGGGAGCCCTGAACTGTGTACTCATGAACAGCAAATGAACTACTTGCTTTATAATCTCATTGAATTTTTGCCTTTTCTCTGCCTCTTTCCCAACCTAGAAAAACTAATCGAGGGACTCAAATCTCCTGATACTTCTCTTCTGCTCCCTGACCTCTTGCCTATGACAGATCCTTTTGGCAGCACCTCTGATGCTGTGATTGGTAAAATCCCTGTCTGTTTCTCCAGTCATGCCTGTTATGTGTATGTTTGTGGGGGTAGCTCTGGCATGGGGAATCGGGGGAGGGCAGAAGTGCCCTCAGGCCTCTGTAGTCCTTGTGCATGGTTTAAAGCTAGCAGGCAACGCTGTTAACTCTATTAGTCCAAAAGGAGTGTCTTTTTCTGCTTTCCATGTGTACAACCTGTAACTCTGGCCTTTACTGATGTCCTATGATTTCTCCAGTATATTTCTCATGAATAAGGAAGAATAGTAGAAAACAGTTGGTTTCTAATTGTCCCTGGGAGCTTCCCTGAACTTAGTAGAATCGAGTTGATTCTTCTTTAGAAGGTCAATGCTTATAACAAATACCCATACCAGGAAGTCTGCCTGGCAGTTCATCGCCAGAGTAGTCCAGCACAGCAGCTTGGTCTGCTTACTTTGTTATATTCTTTTTTATGCTATATAAGCAAAACCTTTAAACTGCCTGGATGGATTCTTGGAGGGTTCAGTCATTAGATTTACACAAGAAATGTTAGCATTCCAGAATGCCATGGTCTCACAGAAAGGTAGGCCTCCATCTGTGAGACATCACAATGTGCAGAGCACTTCCCTGCTATATCATGAGATAGGGTGAGGTACACTTGAGGGTTGTGCATTAGATTGGAGGATGTTTACACCAAGGCTGGCTCATTAAAAGGGTAAAATTGCCCAAACTAATGATGAACAAAGCTGTTTTGGTTGTTGTTGGCTTTTGAAGTAGGGCGTCATTGTGTAGCCAGGCTGGCCCCAAACTCATGGCAGAATTATAGGTGTGAGCCACCATTGCCTGTCTTGAAGCCAATCTTTTCTGGCATAGAAGAATTTGCTTCTGAAAAGTTGCTTATATCCTGCACTTATTTGTAGGAACTGGTGATGACTGCACCATCCTGGTAGCCAGCCTTGTACATTCATGCTCAGTCATTGAAGCCCAGGCAGTGGCAGAGTAATATCACAGGCTGTTCTCTGCAGCTCACCTCAGACTTGGGAAGCAAGCCTTCATAGGTTTTCCTGAGCAGCATCTGACTTCTTCCTTTTCTTACCCTTTCCTCTCCACTGTTAATGCCCCTGATAACAAAAGAAAAGGCTGATGTTGCTGTTGAGAGTCTCATACCTGGACTGGAGCCACCTGTTGCTCAGCGCCTCCCATCTCAGACGGAGTCTGTGACCTCGAACCGCACAGGTCAGTCAGGGCCCATGTAGCTGCAGAGCTGGCAGAAGAGTAGCCTCAGAGCAGGGCTTCCCACCCGTGACAGATGAACCTGTTTATTTGCATTCTGGTTGGTTTTTACAATGGATGCCATGAATTGTTCTTACAGTCCTGGCCCAAGTGCTTGCATATCAATCAATCTCCAACATCAGAAAGAAAAAAAAAATTCTCTTCACTGGTGGCAGGTTCCCCCTACCTCTTTAACACAAGTCAGCTCAGATAAATGGCTGCCTTAACCCTTCTAGCTGTTAAGCAGACCTCCTCAACTTCCTTACACACAGTACTGGATCTGTGGAGCTCATCTTCTGCTGTTGATATTCTTTTCCGATCAGGGTTTCCATCTAGAGGCGATTTTCCTTTTGCTTGTAGGCAAAATTGAAATTTTCCTTGAATCCAGGGTGGCTTTCACTCTTGAAAATTTTAGTCTTTGTTCAAGACCTCAGACACACACAAACAAATCTGATTGCATTCATTTTTGTGAGTCCTAATTACCTTGACAAGATTGTCTGATAGTCTGCCTTCAGGAGATTATAAACTAATGCGTGTGTGTGGGGGGGGGGAGGGGGGAACCTCCCCAAAGGCAGTGTGGTTCCTCTTGTTTTTCCTCACTTGGATGTTTTCTCCCAGGAAATACTCCCTGCTCAAATGATTCATCTCTGAATCTTACCTTCCCCATTTCTTTACTTGGAATAATTTACTATGTTTCAAGGAGAATTCAAATTTAAAGACTAATAGAAAAAGGTATTTTGCATGGGAACACTGGAGTCATGGCGGGTTCCTTTCTGATCAGTTTCCTCACTTCACTAAGAACTTTCCTCCTGAGTGGGGAAACATTAAGTGAAACTCTGGTTACAACATCCTTTTTTCAATGCTATTTGCTGAGACTGGGTTGTTAAGTTATATTGACATTTGAATCACAAACTTGTTTGACCAACAGCTCTGAGCCAAAAATCTTGCATTTATATTTACTACCAAGTAGATTCTAGGATACGTGTTTTTGTGGATAGACATTTAGAGAGCTTAACATATTTCTTTTGGTTTTCTTTCTGCACCTTGACTTGTACATATGGCCTGTAAGTGCAATAATTTAAAAGTCAAGGTATAACCTCACAATGTTGTTGTGTGCTGTTTAATGCCACCGTTTCGGGGATGATGGTGACTGACTCAGACTCTCTCACTGGGGACGACTCCCTGCTTGATTGTTCTCTGCTCTCTAACCCCACTGCTGACCTTCTGGAAGAGTTCGCCCCCATAGCGCTCTCTGCTCCTGCTCACAAAGGTAAAATCTTTCTTGGGCCCACATGTACCCTGGAGTGTTCCCCTTTGTCAAAAGTCTTTGTTAATAAGGTGTTCAAGTTGTCCACTTCTATGGAAAACATGGGTTTGTATTCTTAACCACTGTCAGAATTCTTCTCAGAGTAGTTAGTAAGCCCTGGTAACTACAGATGGGTGCAGGGATCACTTTCTGACAAGAACTGGCATGCAGATATTCCATGTTACCTTTGAGAGCCATGTGCCTTAAGGGACAATGGCTGAGCCCACTGAATGATTGTGATTATTAATATGACATTCATTGGCCTTAGAAAGGAAAGTCATTTCATCCAGTTTGACTCAAGATTTTGAATGTAAAGAAATACAACCCTCAAAAAATCATTCCTCAAAAACTGAACTTGTGAAAGCTTTGAATATTATTTTGCCTTTGAGTAATTTATTACTGAGTTTCTCACTCTAACCTGTCATTTTCACTTCCTAGTCTTGACTTGGTCTGGTTTGAGATTTTGCAGGCAGAGTAGCTTGGGTTGGGTTCTGAGGTCTGTTGTGGTGGTAGCATGCTTGCACATGACAAGCTTATTTCTGTGTTTGAAGAACATTAGAAATTGAACAGGTTAAGTACTTTCCAAAGGAAATTCAAGAGGGAAGCCTCCAGAGATGACTAAAGACAATGGGCTCCTGGTTGCAGTGATGATAACTGGTTTTGTTTTATGGCCGGCATGGGAAGTTACATGTATAGACAGACACTGATGGCTGGCAAAAGTATGTTGATAGCAATGTGTAACCACACAAAAGCATTCTCTGTAAGGGCTCAGCTAGCTTTTGCTGGAGACAGCTTTAATTCGATTGAAGAATATGCTGAGTGTGGTGGCACATACCTTTAATCCCAGCATTGGGAAGGCAGGAGCAGGTTGATTTGTGTGAGTTTCAGGGCAACTGGGCCTACATATGAGACACTGTTTCAAACAAAACAAAAGAACAGCAACCACCCCAAAAAATGGGAGAGGGGCATAGTCTAAGAAACTTAGGTGTTTTTTGTACCCCAGTTTTCTGATTTATTAAAAAGCCCCCCCCCCCCAGACCAGGAAGTCTTGCCATTTTACTTGCTTTGTACATATTGGTTAATTCTCTTCCATTGTTGGTTTTGGGTCATGGTGTCAAACTCAAGACCTTGCAACTTGCTAAAGCACACTCTGCCATTGAGCCATGCCCCAGCCTCTACATGCTTGCTCCTCTCTCATCTTCTGCCCCAGGCTTCCAGTGTTTCAGTTAGGCCTCTGTTAACTCAAAAAGATAGTGACATTTCAGAGATAGCTTCCAACTGTGACTATGGTCTTCTACAGAGTAGAGAATTCTTCTAATAGCCCATTTCTCAACTGTTCATGAAATCTTAACATTGTAAGTTCTATAGATTTTTACTTCTATATACCTGTATTTTCTAGTTTTCTACTTTTATTTCAACTCAGAAAAATAAGTGCTTTCACCTTTAAGAACAGTGATTGTTCATAGTTGAAGGCTTGATGCCTCCTTCCTGTTCTCTCATTTGCTAATCTCTTCTTCTGTTGTTTCTGCTTGTGTGCTTGCATTCTGTATTAAGCTGCAGAAGATAGTAATCTCATCTCAGGTTTCGGTGTCACTGAGGGCTCGGAAAAGGTGGCAGAAGATGAGTTTGACCCTATTCCTGTACTGATAACCAAAAACACACAAGGTAAGAAAGAGGCTGGAGAAAAGAGAAGATCTTGACATCAGGTCTCATCAAAACACTGTCTGTAGCCTGCATGGTGGATGGGAGTATCACCATATAGTGAAGGACACTGGATGATGGCAGTTAGTGTAGGCTGGGCCAACATGAGAGGCAGGTGGAGATGCTGATCTTTGTAGCTTAAAACCTCATTGACTTGGGGCTTATTTAGAGAAGAGTTAGTTTTTATGAAATGTCAAGCCAAAAATAAAGTGCTCTCTAGTCGGTAGAAGCCTAAAGGTATGTGTCAGAAGTGTTGAACATTTTTATCATAATTGGAAAATATATAATAGATGTTCTTTCCAGAGAGCTAACAGTGGTATTTTAGTGTCTGCTGCATCTGTAGATTTTGTGGACCATTCTTTTCCTCTTTGGTGGATTGAATTATTTGAGCATGCACAAAACACTAAAGCACACCACTTACTTCTTTTTTAAAAGCACGGTCTTATTGTAGTATCCTAAACTGATTCTCCTTAAAGCAGAAATTGATCTGTACTTTTTAGGAGGTGGCTTGCTGTTGCTAGGCTAATGGACAGACAGGACTTTTAGGCAAACGAGTTGGTTTGGAAGCAGCAGCATCTCTGTAGTGTCCTGCCTCTACTGTGGTATGCATAGAGTGAACTACTTCTGGTGGGAGGTAGTGGCTAGCCAATGGTTATGTTTAGAAATCAACGTGTGAGACTTTTGAAATGTGAAATGTTGCTTCTCTGGGATGTCCTTGTTTTTCTTTTTCTCCTTTGCTTGCTCTGCACATCTAACCCTAATCCTCTGTGTTTTGTATTGAATCCTATCTTTCCACTTCCAGGTGGGCACTCTAGAAACAGCAGTGGGAGCTCTGAGTCCAGTCTTCCCAACCTAGCCAGGTCTTTGCTGCTGGTGGATCAGCTCATAGACCTGTAGCCGTGAGCCAGTAGCAGACGCAGTTCTGTAATCTTCATGCCGTAATACACATTTTCATTACGGAGTTATGAGAAAAATGAGTTTTTTTTTTTAAATCTGCAAATAAGGGGCCCTCAAGCCCCTTTCTCCCACCCCTTGCCTTCTCCTATAGAAATGATAAGGAAAGAAAAATCTCTGACCCTCCAGATCCGTTCCTTGGCCGATTCCTCTCCTTAGTTTGCTGTGTTTTCTCATTCCCCATCTTTAATAGCACTATCTTAACTCAAGCCTAGCTGCCCTGAGCTTCACCTCTGCTAGGATCCACTCACAGAAGCTTGACTGTCATTGAGCCTGTTATGGACACTTTGTCTCATTCTTGCTAGGAATGGCCCCATGACAGTCCTATGGCCTGTCTCCCAGATGCTGATGTGTGTCCATTCTTGCTTTTTATCCTGATGCAATATCATGAGGACATGGCAGCTATGGCTGGTCTTAACTCCAGGCAGTAGTCTGAAGACAGGTGTGCTGTTTAAACAGGGCAAAACTAATAGGATGTGTTTGTGAAGAGAAACTGGGCTCAGCTCTAGCTAGTCATCTTTGACCTTGATTGGTAATAGACTGAGCCAAGGTATCTTACACCCATGCAATCTTCTCAGCTATCTAATTTGTCTAGCTATCTGGCTTCCACTGAATTGTGATTTCTCAAATCTGGAGGCGTGACTGCAAGTGCTTAAGATCCTTGAATAAATGTGTATGTGATATAAATACCAAGCATTGCCATCCTTCCATGTTACCTACCCTAAGCTGGGATCTCAGAATTAGACCAAAACAAGACAGTGGTGGGAACATGATACCTTTTACTAGAAGACTTTTCATGGGGGGGGGGTGGATGGGGAAGGGAAGGAATTGTAGCAGAAACAGATGTATTTTTCTTGTGATTTTTTTTTTATTTTGAATCAAATATTGTAAATTGTGTATAAATGAAGATGCTGAATAGTCCTGTTTTCACTTGGCATTTCAAGTCTGACATCAGGTGTCTGTACAGGGTTTTGATCCCCTTCGCTTGTATAACCACATAGCAGTCCTGCAGTGTAACACACAGAACTGTTTTAGGTAGAGTAAATGTCTTGCTCTAAGCTTTCAGCAGGCCTCTATCTCTGTACAACAAGCATGTTGTTTATTTTCAGATAATCAGAAATAAGTGTGCTGGGCACAGTTTGACTATGGCTACTTACTTTCTCTCTGGTGTTTAAATAGAAGCCTGAAGCTGATGAATATGTGCAGTTGGTTTTCCTTGGCTTCCTAGACTTAAAAGACCAAACAAAGGATAGTTTTTCACTAACATAGACTACTGTTCATAGATTTAACTAAAGACCCCTGCACTGGCCATACAACATGCTCTCCTAGTCACCCTCTGTATACTTACTCATCAAGGTATGTTTCATTTCCTTATGTGGAGAGCACTTTTGTCAGATCACCCTTTAGAAGAACAGTGGGCACAGAGAACCCCCTTCCTCAAGTGCCATCCTCTAGGGTTGGAAGGGAAACTCTTAAATTCATCAGATTTGTACAAATAAAACCCCAAATCCATTTGCTTGTTCTCTACTACTACTTTGTTTCTTGCTCACGTTTGCACTTTAAGTGGTGGGGAACCAACATCAGCACGAGCCTGCAAGCACTGCCTCTGGAGGGCCACCATTGACTCCAGCAATGTGACAGCAGGAAGAGTGGACACTCAGTCTTCCTTCTGACTTTCAATCCTTCCTGTGCCAACTGAACCTAAATGAGCTGAGGAAAGGCCTCTGCTAGAAGAGATGGTTTCTACAGGTGAACAAGGCACTGTATGCAGCCGAGGATGGAGGAGATGTCGTGAAGAGCTCTCCACAAGTGGGCTGCAGGGAAGCAGGACTTGGGTAACCCCTTGGTGGACAGGAAATGGTTGTGTCCTCTTTCCTGGACACAGAAAGAATGTGTAAATTAATGAAGGAAATATTTATTTTTAAATAAGGCTACTGTTTTAGGTCTGTGTTTTCATATTTTTTCTCATAAAAATGTTAGCAATATAATGAAATGTCTACTTTTCAGTTTAATTGGAGTTATGAATAGTGCAGTCTAGAAATTAGGTTAAGTGTCTCTAAACCATTTTCATTCATCACCCGTAATTATATTGAGAGATATTGTGTAGTAATTTTCTCAGTAAGGCTTAATGGAGACACTAATGAAAATTAACAGACTCTTGCCAAGGAAGATGGTAAAGCGTGGGTGAGATAATGAAAAGAGACCTGGGGCTGACCATTCAGGAGTAAGGGTTCAGCAGGCAGAGCTATTTTTCTGTTAAGAATTACATTCAAGTGGCTGGGTCAGCATAGCCTTCCTTTGCATCATCCTAAGCTGAGAGAGTGGCTTGGAGAGCATGGTATGTGATAACTGGAGATACACAGTACAAGACTGAACTATATAAGGGGCTGCAGAGACTGACTACCAGTCCATTTACTTTATCTCACTGTTGTGGGCCTGACTGATGAAGGCAGGGTGGTGCGAGAAGGGGCCAGGGCAGCTCAGGTTTCTGGGACCTCATCCAGACCCTGGCTAATGACCTTGAACAGGCATTTGACCCCTCAGAATTGATGTTGGATTTTTACTCAGGATGGGTTTGGATAAGTGATGTCTAAGATAGTAGAAACATAACATTGTTATGCTGTTGTATTTAGAAGGACTGTGAAGGATCATATAATCTGGATGTCCTTCAGGTAACTTCTGTGTTCTTTCCATTACTACAGATTTCTTCAGCATTTACTCACAGAGGATTAGAATGAGCAATTTTTAATCTTGTTGCTACTTGTTGGTTACCTGAATAAAAGCCCACATCATCGAAAGCTTGGAGTTAGAGTGTCCTTCTGTAATATTAAGCACACACAATCTTATCTATTGCAGTCAAACAGAATCCAGAGATTTCTGTTATTTTAATCTGTATAGTCAGGGATTTGCCATTAAAATATGGGCAAATACAGTGTGCATAGTTTTTATTTGACCTTCTCTCTGCTGAGTGGAAGTAATTACTATACCAGAAAATATCACAAATTGGTATCCCCCCCCCCAGATAATCAAATTTAATTCCCAAAGTTTCTAAAAATGTGGTCCTCAAAGGAGATGAGGTTTAAGCAGTTACTTCTAAGTAGTATTATAATTGTTACAGTGTTTTTTGAAATAGATCAGAAATGTTTTGTATGTTTGATTGTTCCCTCCAGAAGCATCTGATTTTGCTTGGGAAGTGAATGCTAACCCTCTCAAAGCAGCAGTGTCATCTGAGTTTTTTAAGCTCTTGTTTTTAGACATAACATCGACAGATAAGGTAGCAAGGTTATGGCTGTGTTGTCTCAGCAGCCTCACTCACAGCATCCACAAGTGTAATCTTTCTTGTGGCTTTTTTCTCTGATACCTCTGCCTCTGAGTAACACTGAGTATTCCAAAATTCAAAACCACTCTGGTAAAAGGAAGATATTGAAACTCCACAGGCAGTTCCTAGAGAAGACTTCATAGCTGAGATTCACCAGCACTGAGTAAGGGAAGGTTTGCAGTGCCATGGTCCTTAGGAGACTTAAAGATACAGCTTTTTAAACTTCACTAAAAGATTGTCCCTCTGCTCATTGGCATTTCACATTGGACTTAGCTCCTTCTGATCAGACTGTAATTCTAGAGTTTGGATTTCTAATAATTGGAAGAAAACAAACCCAAAAGGAAACCTGTTTTTCTTAAGACATATTTTTGTGGTTTGCAGTTCTCATTTCTTGTACTCCTCCTGATAAGTATTTGTTTTGATTCAGACCAACATAGACTTCCCCCAGGTCAGGATTAGTTCTGTCTTCAGCAATGCCCTAAGGATGAGGAGACCTTTACGGTGGGGGTTGGGGGTCCATGCTCAGTGAACAAGAGAATGCTATAGACACCTTGAAGCAAGCTAAAACCTCCTGTGGCAAGGTTCCTCTGGCATCAAAAGTCTTTAACCTTCCTGGTCTGCAAGATAATATGCATCCTGTAGCCACTGACATGGAGTTCGGGATGTGAATGACAGCATCACTCAGAGCAATACTGAGTTAAGCAAATCAGAGGCTGCCTGATGGAATGTTTAGAGGGGAGTGTCTACTTATAAACACTTCAGTTACTGCAAACTAATTTATATCCCTCTCCAGAGAGTAATTTTACCAGTGCAAAATTAGACCTTTCCTCACCACAATGATAATGTTCCCCAAGTTAGATGTGCTTTGCTTTTGTGAACTGAATGAATCTCAGATGGCCTCCATTTCAGTCTGTAACAAGATAGCCTATGTAGTTTCCCCTGGATTTCCTTTCACTAAGTGGGAGGGAGGCGGTCTGGAGGCCGCCTGGGTAATGCTAACTCATGCAGAGTTCCTAAAGGGTGACAGTTGCTAGGAGGGAAGTCCTTCCTTGGTTCTCACTTTGATGCAGTGTCCTGAATTTACATCTGTGGGTATTCTTTTCTGCCTTGTTTTACATGCCTTTGTCACCTGGATGGACTCTTACCTTAGGTCTTTAACTTGTCTTCCCCAGGGAAGCAAAGCAAAGTGATGTAATGAAGCTATCTTGTGCAGTAAAATGTGAAAAATGAACACTGCTTCGCAAGTATTGTATAAATAAGTCTGTAAACAAATTTCTTATGTAAACATACAGAGGAATAAAGCTTTTATCTGTTCAAACAAGTGCATGATGTTTAGATGTATAAATAGCTTAAGGTAGCTTTTATATTCCTGCAGAAGGAACTTGAGCACATTAGTGACTACAAATACCAGTGAACAAGAAAAGTGTGGACAGCTGTTCAAATTGTCCTGAGGAAGGTTTAGTAAGTGGACACCTGTGCAAGATGTCCCAAGGAAGGTGTGAAATGTCCCTAGGTTTAATGAGTTATGACCACTTTGGAGATGAAGCCCATTACTGTCAAGAATGAGAAACCTGAAAACACACATTAGCCAGGGCCATACGTGAATGATAAAATGGCACCCATTTGCAGCTGCTCTCCTCTAATTTAGTCTTGAATACACCCAGGCCAACTTAATTAAACACTAGGATGGCAAGAGTATATTTATGCCCAGTGAGAAATGGCTCTCTTTAATTGCTTCTGGCATCCAGTGGTGGGCTTTTCTGCTACTGCCTAGCATAAGAGAGAACCAAATGCTGAAGTTCGTGATGAACACCAAAGGTTCTGGGAATTGCAGGGTACTGAGAGTGTGGTCCCTGGGTTTGGTTCTGAGACATCAAATTTCAACTGATGCCATACACCTCATCGGGGTGCTTTTCAATCTTTGGGTGTATGAGATACCCAAGCCATTACTTCAGACTTAGGCAAGAATTTGTCATTAGTGTTCCCTGACACTTATTTCAGTTATAGTGTAGAGACAAGTACAGTTCTGACATACTACATTGTAAGATTATCTGGCCTGAAATTTAAATTTCAGATTCAGGGCCAGCCAGATGACTCACTCTTTGGGTAAAAGTGCTTGTGCCAAGCCTGATGACCCAAGTGAGAGCCCTTGGGATGGAAGGAGAGGACTGGCTTGTGCAAACTGTCCTGTAACTTTTGCTTGAGCACTGTGGCACATGCTTGTGAGTGCACACTAGTAATAACATTTCTTTAATCTTAGATTTTGCTTCTCTAGAGAGCATGCTAATAAACTCAGTGCCAATCAGATAACATTTCTGGAGTCAGTCATCCCCAAGAGAGCCACACTTTGATCTCTGAGATAATACAGGGGGTGGTGAAGTTACCTCTCCAGGGTGTGTGAGTTTGCACTGAAATCTGTAACTTACAGCCTCACAGTGGAACCAGAGAGAGCTATTTCTAGAAGTTTTGCAAACAAAAAGAAACATGACCCAGTTTGATGGAATTATAAGAGAATGCCTCATGATGAACAAAAGCCTTATACACATTGAGGCCAGGTCCTGATCTGGGAGAACAGGCTAGAATTTTTTATTTTTCTTATTTAGCTCTGCTGTGGCTGTCATTGATAACCAAAGAACTCTACCATGGCATGTGGGTATGTTGGGTGGATCCCTAGGAGCCAGGCTGCTTCAGAGGTAGTCTGCCATTGGCCCATGTTGGTTTGCACTGCAAGGGCTTTTCACCCTAAAAATACTTGTAAGAGCACATTCACATACTAAAGTGAACAACAGCAAGACCTTTAACTGCCAGAAAGATGTTACAAATCTCCCCTGAACTCTGTTGTTTCCCTAGCTACCACCATCAGGACTCCCTGGAGTCATGTAGACTTCTAGGAGCTCTATATTCTCTAGTATTTCTTTGGCTGTCAAAGTGGTAGGCCTGGTTACTCTGCCTTAGTTACACTGTACCTCCAAGAAAGGTTGAGAGGCAGATTTTTCAGGAAAGCCCTGTTAGATGTACTTTTCTAGTCTTAAGAAAATTCATAGTGAGATAGAGGGAATAGCTGTGATCCTTTTAAACATTGAGAAACTGGTCTTCCTTTCAGACTTGATGATGACCCCCAAACTTTTTTTTTTAAACAAGCTCTCACTATATATCTTTGACTGACCTGGAACTTACTATGTAATCAGGGTAGACTCGAACACACAGAGATCCATCTGCCTTAGTTTTCTGAGTGCTAGGATTAAAAGCATGAACCCCAGCCAATTCTAAACTTTTTAAAGCTGTCAGTATTTAAATATAAAATAAATACCTTACTATTCACTTCAAAATTCAAAGATGTCCTAAGTCAGTAGATTTTTTTTTTTTAAACTGGGTTTTTGACTCAAAGCCTACTACATGACAGTAGTTTATATTGGGCCAGCATGTTCTTCATGTCCCATTATGGATGAGAGAGTTCTCCCCTTGCTACCTCATAGCTCTGTGGATGTAATATAGTGTTGAAGGCATCAGACCCTGGGTCTCTAGGTAGATAGATGCTTTTTGCAGTCTGTACATGACTTTGTTTGAATGAATCCAGTTTCAGATCCTTCAAATCACTGACTATAGTGAAAGCAGTATTGTATTCAAATCAGACCATACAGTACCAGGAGTAATCACTGGCTTGACTCAACCTTCTCTCTGTGTGCTAAAGGATGCTTTGCTCTGTTGCATAGCCACTGTAGAAGCAATAACATTCAGGTAGTCTTGGAGAGCAGAGCAAGTGCACCTTAATTTTGTCTAAAAGGAAACAGCCTATGGACTCTTAGGAGCCTCCTACATTTCTTGGTGAATTTTATTTTAAAAGTTAGTGGCTCTCCCTTCCCCCTTCACTTTAGTTCCCTCACAGAAATTATTACCTGCATATCTCTGAGATAAATCTAATCTCAGTTGTCTGCCTGAGAAATTAGGGTTGTGCCCATATGCACTGTGAGGAAGCAAGAAGTCTTCATTCCATACTGGTTTCAAATTTTGAGTTTAGAATTCATTATGTTCAAACTATTAGATAGGTAAATAAAAACCGGGGCAGGGGGACTACTGAAAATTACTCATTGTCAACTAATTAAAATGAAGCATTGCTTAAAAAAAAAAAGTTAGAGGATTTAGACAAATAATATTTTTGTATAATGTCTTTTAATCAAATGTTCAGCTCCCTCTTTGTGTTCTCTATGGTATAAGTTCTCACTAAGTGACTAGGTTTCCAATATATCAACTTTGTAGTCCCTTCCTCTGTGCTATATGCTCAGTTCCAGCAAGAATGTAGTAGAGGGCACTGTGTAGCAGAAAGTCCTTCTGATAAGGCATTCATTGGATGGAGAGGGCCCAGTCGGGAATGGCCAATAGTTAGTGTCCTGGTGGGTTGGGACATTCTGGTGGTATGTCCTTTTTGAGCCCATAATGAAATATATTTTGCCCTCCACCCTCCACCCTACCTACCCTTTCTCTGGATTCTTCTTGCTTAGTTACATATGCCTTTTTCCTACCCTCTTGCTAACATGTGCCCAATGACATACTTCTAACCTGCTAATATTTCTTGGAAGGTAAGCTCTATTGCATTCTGATAATTGTCTATTTGATTTTAAATGCCAGAGCACCCAAAGGCACCTCTACCTACATTACCACTTGTGCTAGTACATTGGAGTTTTCTAGTATTTCTGCTTAAAGAACTTAATGGCAGATTCATTAAATGGAGATCTTTGCTAACTTGGGACACTAAAAACAAAATTCTAGGGACACTCCAGCCAAAGTTGATGTCATCTAGTATGACTCAGAAAGTGCCCTCCATATTTGCATCAGACAAAAAGTGCTCTCTATGAGCACTGCTTGCAGTGTACCATCAAGTAGACGTGCATTTACCAACAGCCTCGCACTGCCTGTCAGAGGGTCTGTCTTTCTGAATGTGGAGCATATGCCTGATGCCGAGTTAAGTTCATCCCCAGGCAGTAGTTCTCCATAGCCCCAGACTGTCTGGTGTATGTGGAGAGGAATGACTGGGCTTGTTTTCATTTGGCTCTGAGCCAGGTAGAGCAGGTGTCTGTGCCTGGCCTGCAAGTAGGGGTGTTGCCTAGTTGCCCTGAATGTCTGTGTGCCTAACATTTTCACCTTTCTTGCTCATTATTATGTCTATCATGAGCCAAAGTGTGAGATGGTGGTTGTGTCTTCAGTCTGTGTGCATTTACCTTGCTTGACTTTTTATTTTTCTGTTTGTTTTCCATTTTCAACATCTATTATTTGGTTCTACAATGTATCTGCCTTGGTTGACCATTAAATGTTCCAAAAAGCTCTGACCCAGGCTCCACATTAATTCTAAATTTTATGCTTTTCTAGGTCTCCAGAAAGAGCCCAGTCCTTGTCCTGTAATTACTGTAGAGCACTTTAAAGAACCTGTGGGTGCCAAAGGCCTCGCCCTCTATCCAGATCCCTGCAGAGTTCCTGGAACAAAGACCCAGAACATTTTAGAATCTGACTCCCTGGCCCAAGAGGGCCCTTCCAGCAATAGCTCCTTCCACAGCAGTGAGGAGGAAGAGGGCACCGACCTGGAGGGGGACATGTTGGACTGCAGCGGGTCTCGGCCTCTCCTTCTGGAGTCTGAAGAGGAGGATGAGAGCTGCAGGCCTCCCCAGGGAAAGCTGGGAGAAGCCACTCTGTTCTCTGAACCTGGAGTGTCTGCTAAGCCAGAAAAGGGGAGACAAGGCGGGAAAAAGAGCCAGTTCTTGCCAGTCAACCAGCAGGCTTCAGATGGTCTTGGGGAGCCTGATGTCTTTGCCACAGCCCCCTTCAGGAGCTCACTGGTTCCAGCAGATGACATGGACATTTTCTCCAAAGCCCCTTTTGTCTCCAAGGCCAGTGTAGCTCCTTCCCAAACAGAGGAGATGGATGTGTTCTCCAGAGCTCCTTTCACCAAGAAGAAGAGTATGGAGGAGTTACTGGCCATGCAAGGCTCCTCACAGGATTTGCCGGTGCAGGCCAGCCCCAGTCAGCTTGGTGAAGGGCCCCTGCTTCCAGGCCGAGATAGAGCCATGTACACCCCTGCCCAGGCGCAGTATCCTGTGGCTGGCTTTGTACAGCAGTCTGGTGTCCCCTCCCACTCTGTCCAGGTGGCAGACCATTTTGATAGCAGCTCTCCCAGAGGATCTCCCATGGAATCTGGGAGTCATCCTAGTGACAGAAACAGAGGCCTGCAGCCCCAGAAAGAAGCCTTTTCTGGGCCGGTGGGTGTTAAGCCATTCCGCCCCCAGGCTTTATCCAAATATTCCCGACACTATAGCCCAGAAGATGAGTCAAGTCCAGAAGCCCAGCCCATTGCTGCCTACAAGATTGTTTCACAAAGCAATAAGCAGTTGCTAGCTGGCTCTGTGTCTGTCACATCTCTGTCCTCCAGGACTACAGAGCTGCCCACTGCTGATCCTTTTGCTTTAGCACCCTTTCCTTCAAAAGCAGGCAAACAGAAACCCTAGGAGCAGAGACCAGGCTGAGGCCTGCCTCCACCCACCCCAACAGCACCCATCACACCACTCCTGGCAGGCCTTCCAGGGAGTATCCACTGTGACCTTGTAGTTCCCGCCTCACAGCAGAATCACTTCAAGGCAATTAGCAAGGTTGCTCTTTATGTTATACTTCCTTTTTTTTTGTTTATTCTCTTTCTGGACTTGTAGGCATTACTGATCCTTCATACAGGCCTTCACCCTTACTCAGAACTCTGTTTTTTTTTTTTTTTTGTTTGTTTGTTTGTTTGTTTTTTTCCCAGAAACCTTTTTAATCAAGGAATATTTTACCCCCAGTTAACAGGGGCTGTGTTACACCACGACTTTGAATGCCTGCAGCTCCTATTGGGAGTCACTTGAAGAGTCAAGATGTATCTCTCCAGGACTTGACAATACTCTTGGAACAGAGAGATTTCTAGAAAAAAGAGCAATATAAACCTACTGCACATCTGAAGAAGTTAATCCTTCAGCCACTCATCATTCATTCCTGTGGAGCCAGCAGCTCTCAAAGGATTCTGGGATTTCTCACTGAGTCCATATGAGCCCAGCTGGCCCTTGTGCACAAGTGTCTGGATGCATGATGTGCCTCAGATTCTATGTCTTGTAAAAGAGCACACGGTGGGAAAAGCTCATTCTGCTGCCTTCCCATGGTCCACTTTCTGGACTAGTACAGATGCATGTGTGTGCATGCATACAAGAAACCTTTTCCTTTGAGTGAAACCACCATGCCTACCTCCATTATCAAATCATTTTCTTGTGTTTTCTTGTTGGCCTGACTTGAACCTTGGCTTTCTTTGGATGTTTTTTCTCATGGTAAAATTGAAGGTGTTGGACCATATGGGGCAATCCTGTTGGAACTGAGCTTTCAGAGTGGATTTTTCAAATTCTTTTACCTGGTTTTGAAAAATCACATTCCCAAAACTGGACGTGGTAACTTATACCTGTAATCCTAGCTCTCGGGAAACTGACAGGAGGATTGCCACAAGTTAGAGGCTACCCTGGGCTTAATACTGAATTCCAAGCCCTCTCCCCTCCTCCTACTCCCAAAAAAGTCACCGGTTCTTCTGTTTTCACCTGGCAATAGGGGAAGAATGTCTTTAGTATCTTTAGGCTTCTAGTCACTGGGAATCCTTCCTGGGTACCATTATTATGATATTCATTAATCAGGAACCTAAGCCACAAACCAGGTTTGCCTACCCACCCCCAACTCTTCCCATACATGTCTGTTGCCTCTTGAGTGGGTACAAACTTGATACCTAGTATAAGGTTAAAATGAAAAAGAGCTGATCAGCTATCCTTACAGATCTTTAAATTATCTGTTCTGTTCAGATGTTAAAGTAGAACAGGCAGGTGACTGGCTGTGTTTTCACAAGTGTGTTTTTATTTCTGGAAAGCATTGACTCATTACTAGTGTTTTCATACCCTTCATTTTTAGTGCCTTAAAAGAAAACCCATGACTTCACAGGAAGGTTTCTGCTGAGGAAGTTGAGTTTAATGGAAAGAGTCTGCATCAAACCCCCTGCACACTTACAGCTTCTAGCATACAGTTCCTCCATGTGTTTGGGGAAGTTCATAGAGTTGTGCACCAAACTAGATTAGTGATATAAAAATTACTAGCAACATGGTAGCACACTCCTGTAAGCAGGGCACTTGGGGGGTACAAGAAGGAGGCGTTCAAGGCCAGCCTAGACTATGTGAGACACTGCTCCACAAAATAAAAGAAGAATTACTGAAAATGCATCTAGTAATGAAGCCTAAATGCCAGGCTGCACTCAGTCAGTTGTGATGTCCTTTAAATTTGAAATCAGGGTTTTGGTTCACAACTCAGTGGAAGAATACATGCTTTGCATGCACCATGCCCTGAGTTCTGTCCACAGCACACACACAAAAAATAAAAAACCCAAGACTCTCAACAATAACATCAAAATGGTTAAGGCAAAACCTTGTGTACATATCAAGTTCCAGGACAGCCAGTGAGTGAAAGCCTGTCTTAAGAGGGGAGCTAGTTTCAGTACTTTTCTTTTTGGTATTCTCCATCTGTTTAAATAACAAGCATATTTCAGGGCCCTCACACCTACCCCAGCAGTGGTTGCCATGTGAGGGCTCCACCCCACCAGAAACCTGCCTTTCACTTTAGTAAAAGCTAACTATTCTCTCTAGGAATTTGATTATTTTTTAATTTTGTATACTAGTGGATACAAACTGGTCTTTCTGTTAAATGAGTAGTTTGGCTAATGCACATGGAACTTTGCAACCAAACTCCCCATGCTTGCTGTCAGGCGAAGTCCTCTGAGTCATGTGCAAAAAGGATGGGAATGTTCCAAGTCCTCACTTGATGTCACAAGCTCTTGCCAGATTGCAGCATATACCTGTAGTCCAAGCTACTTAGAAGGCTGGGCAGAAGGACAGCTTGAGCCCAGGATCTCAAAGGCCAACTTTGGCAACATACAAGGACCCATCTCTTGAATAGAAATTTGAGAATGCAAGGTCAGCATCAGCCATGTAATAGCGCTGCAAACTACTCTAACTTTGATTACTGTATCACTCCATCTAATCAAGCAGTCATTTTAATTTACAAGGTCCAAAATTAGGATAAAATCATGAACTCTTTACTTTTATATAATTGAATCATTTGTAAAGTATGGGCTTTAGGGCCTTTGTGAAAAATCTACTGAGTGGAAAGTCTACCTACCATCTTTGAATAGGGAATGAATGTGCAGATTTTTTTTTTTTTAATGTAGCAGTTCATGAAGGAAATTTGACAAGAGACTAGCTGACAGATGAGTTCTGAAGGAGGTGCTGTGGAAGAGTGTGGATTACAGGATCAGTGTGTGATTTAAGATCTGGTGCCCTGGTGGGATGCCATCCTGAGTGGACATCTGCAAAAGTTTATTGTACAGGGAATTAGGAGTGCTGAAAGTCTATGAATCACCAACAGGTTCCCAGTGACCATACTCTTAACAGTTTATTAATAAGGAAGAGGGAACATTGTCAACAAAATGCTGCACTTTGTTTTAGTTTCTGCTATATGTTAGTCACTTTGTATATTTCATAGGAAACACGGGAAACTGTGAACTTTTGACTCAGTAGAAAGAGATGAGTCAGAATATCCTTAGACAAAGCCTTAAGCCTATCATGTACTAATGAACTCCTAAATGATGTGCCAGGCTGGGGACATAGGTCAGAGAGGGGACTTGGCATAGGTGAGGTCCTGAGTTCTTCCATGTTAGCACTGCTAACAGAGTTAACTTATGTATGATGGAAAATACTTCAACAATTTCTTAGGCTTACAATACAGCTCTTTAGCACCAAATCCATGGTTAGCACCAAAACAAATGAAATAAAATAGTGAACACCTGTGGCAGGCACACCTATATTCCCAGTACTTGGGAGGCCAAGCCAAGGAAATTGTGAGTTCAAAACAAGCCTGAGCAGCTTAGCAAGATCTTAATATTGAAATTTCAAGAGGGTTGGTTGGTTTTGTATTTAGGTAGTAGGATGCTTACCTAGCATGTGCAACCACTGGATTTAATTAACTCTGCTACTGGCAGACAAAGAGTGCACAGGTGATTTCATCATGAGCAATCTAGTCACCAAAGTGAACAGAAGTTGATGTTGAAATGCAGATTTTAGTTCATACAGGCTGTCTTGGTTCACTTGTGGGATTGAAGGCCTATGTACTGCCTCATGCCCCTGTGTGTGTGTGTGTGTGTGTGTGTACAACTGAGATCATCTAGATGTTCAAACAGTGCTGTCTTACTGGCCTGTTGTGTATTTCTTACATGTTGGATCATGTGCTTGTCAGTGTTTTCAGCTACTCTTCACTGGTGCATAAAGTATTAGAGTGGTCTGATGATAAGAAATTCTGTTTTTATCCTGTAAATGAAAATAATCAAAACATGTATCAAATTGTATGATATGTATATATTACTTCAAATAGGAAACTTAAGTGGAAAGTTGGAGGAGTTGCAGTGCCCTCTCCAGTAGGAACAAGGCAACTTCAGTGGAGTTCATTTGGGTCCCTCAAATGTAAAGAGATGTTGCTTTCTGCTGTGTCTTTGGATTTCAAACTTGAGAACACATCCCAGTGAACTCCAAAACAGCTGCTGGTCATAGTATTTTTATCACAATCAAACTTACTTTGATGAAAGATAGTTTGCAGGAGTACAGTGGTAGAAGTACACTTTCTGTAGCCACCCTGTTTCCCAGCCCTCCTGAGCTTGCCTAAAAGATTAAACAGGAAATTGTAAGTGAAATCATGTAATTTGAGTGATCAATATTTGTCTTTGTTCTAATCACCAGAACATTTGAAAACTTAATAAAAATTTCACAAAAGGTTTCAAAATGCTTAAAAATAAAAAGTAGTGTCTAGTTGTACATTGTTTTTGTTCTGTTCTCAAAGGTCTTTGTGACCCCTCCCTCATTCCTACTGCTTAATTTCCTCCCTCCACATTCTCCTGTTTTGTTCAGACCAGTAAGTGTCTAGTGAACTGTTGTACTAACTTACAGTTGTTTTCCTTGCTACTGTAAAATTTCATTCTAGAATTCAGGCCAGCCTTGACAATCTAATCTTCTCCTAGAATGAAGGACAGAGGAGGGTTGGCAGGACCCAGCTTTACTCTGTGAGTGTTTAACCCCTAGAGCACTCTCCACCCTTTTCCTACATGGCTCTAGAATGGGTATGTATGTGAGAGGACTCTAGAACAGCAAAAATAGCTAAGTGCAGGCAGAAGGTTCTCTCCGAGTTTGAGGCCTGCTTGGGCTACATAACAAGACCTTGTCTCAACACACACACACACACACACACACACACAATGTTAACTACATGTGGCTTACGCCAAAGTTTCTATAACTTGTAATTCCATATGTTTTGTCATCTGTATTTTATCAACCTCTGACTTAGGCAAGTGTTACACAGTTGTGAGTTGATAGTAAATATTACCTTGTGGTAGAAAGAACCATGTATACACACA